TCTCATGTTTGTCAAAACAGTTTTATTCCGTAAAAGCGTGATACATGATATATGCATGACTTGAAAATTAACTTTAAAACTATTCATCTTCCTTTTCTGTTATCTATATCAGATATTTAAATTTTCTTCTCAGCAGCAAATTAATTTTATAAAATGCCTGTGCTATACAGTCACATACTTCATACATTACAACAAGAAATCAGAAGGGGAACGGAGTACCTCTGTACTAACTAACTGTAATCACTAGCTATATATTGTGGGATTAAAACTATTCAGAATATTTTCATTATGGATTGGCTCAGAGAGAGGAAAAACATATGTGTGATAAGTGCTAGAATAAGATGTGCAATTGTGCATAGTTAGGAGAGAAACACACTGTGTTCGAAAATCAGGGGTGCATAACGAAATCTACTATTTTTTTATATGTAAAACCTCACGCTACGCTATCATAATAACGTTATATACCTCTGATTTTCCAACACAGTTTGTTTTACTCCATTCTACCATAACCGCGTTATTAAGATGTTGGAAAATCAGAGGTATATAACGTGATTATATACCTCTGAATGACTTAATGAACCAATCACAATCTAGTTACTGAAGTTATGGTAAAATAAGCAACAAATAATATCCAAATAATCCTAACAAATACACAATTTATTCATATTGAATACAATAATTTGTGTCGAGAAACAGACAACATTGCAGTACAGCAACTTAATGCTCTTCTTTCGCAAAAGAATATGTTATAACACATGCAACATGTGCGCAAAAGCATTAGCATCAATTAGCGGGGCCGTGGGGTAGCCTAGTAGCTAAAGCGTTCGTCACTCCGAAGACCCGGGCTCGATTCTTTAAGTGAAGCCTAATTCTGCTGTTCCCCGCCGTGAATCACTCAATCACCCTGCATAAGCACAGGCATGGTTTCGAATAATGTTGTCCTGATGGATGACGTCAATGAAATTGTCATCAGCAATCATGATTTATGTCGTACCAGGAGTTTTGCTACCACAGTACGTCCTGACAGAAACTGGCGACGGTGAGTAAAGGAAGCGTCGAAAAACATTCAGTTTGAATCTCATAGACCTGGACACATCTGTGAGCACTATGCTATCCCAGTCTTCTGAACCTCAGATGCCGTCTTCATGAAACACGCCGTGCCTGACATTGGACATATTGGTTGACGATGGGCTAGATGTTGTGCTCCCCCAACCGGTTGTTTTCAGTCTCAACCGTGGAATTGTCTGAGCTTTTTATATGGTAGTTTGAATTGAATATATGAATATACCAACAGAATATGGTTGCCTTGTCCATATGATGTCTTACGTGGACAGCATTCTATAGCCTGTTTTTACATTGTCTTGTCATTTCTAGTTAACATGTTTTAAATTTAATCACTAGTTTTAAATAGATATCTGTGATACACTAGTTTTACTGTTCTTCATCAACAGGTTTTAATTTCCAATTGAATTTTATTGATGTATGATATAATCATTAATTGTTCTCGTCACGATATGATTGATATATTGCCGATGTGACGATAAATATTAACTTGAATAAAGAATATGTATATATAAAACATGTCGTGAAAGGACAGTAAAACAACGAGACTATCACAGTTCGAATGTGAAATTAGAATGTGAAGTTTAACTAATAGCACAATTTGGACAATACATACTATATCGCCATCAACTGAAGGTAGATCACCATTCTTAGGGACTATAGGGACTTACAGTAATTTTGCTACCTGCATGGACCCTAGTTGGATTTACACCATCCCTTCAGCCATTGGCAACTTTACTGAGTTTAACCATTATTTAAAATAACAAATATTCTACGATGAAATGTTTGGTAGAACTAAATTTACCTCTAATGATTTGGGACCGACATTCCCGTGACAATCTATGACAGATGCCCTTGAGCAGAAATTTATTTCAGTAAACTCCAGCAGTTATAAAAAATGCAGTTATCCGAATAAATACAGCGTTCTACAGGCAAGTTTGTTTATCCCGTGTAGAATTTCTTTATACAAAAGCTCACAGTTGAACATACGTGTCAGCATCTCCTATCATATACGCCTGTGAAGATGTGGGATTGAACTGGTGTACAGCAACCCATGCCTGTCGTAAGAGGCGATTGGCTGGTCAGGCTCGCTGATTTGGTTGACACGTCATCTTATAGCAACTGCGTAGAGGGGCGGTGGGGTAGCCGACTGGTTAAAGCGTTGGCTCGTTACGCCGAAGATCCCGATTTGATTCCCCACATGGTTGCAATGTGTGAAGCCCATTTTGCTGGAATATTGCTAAAAGCGGCGTAAAACAAATCTCTGGATTGTCTGGTCTCGACTCCATTATTTGCATGCATATAATCCGCCATATAGCTGGAATATTGCTGAGTAAGGTGAACACAAAAACAAACCAATCTTATCATATATGGGACAGTGGGGTAGCCAAGTAACCAAAGCGTCCGCTCGTCACGCCGATGACCTGGGTTCGATTCCCCACATGGGTACATTGTGTGAAGCAAATCTTGGTGGCCCCCGCCGTGGATAATTGCTAAAAGCCACCTGCTATCAGCATTGAGATTTGCAACATTAATATAAGACAAGCTGACCTGCATAGGACAACAATGTTACACAAACACCAAACTGCTAATAGGAACACCAACATTTGCACTCTATTTTTCTTTTAAATAGGAAGGTTGCCCACACTTGAAAAACATGATTCAAGTTATGAGAATTATTTGCATGGAAAAGAAATCTACTGTGATATGAACATCTAAAGTCATGGTTATTTCCTGGAAAAAAGAGGGCAATTTAAATATATACTTTAACTTTCAGTATTCTTTGTTTTACAGTTAATAAGGTATGACAGAAAGGATTATGCTAATGGTACTTGTTTGGCCTCTGTCGCAATATAGAGAGGGTTATCTACGGCTTCTTCTGTCGAGGGACTCTGTTTGTAAGATGCAAGGGTCTGATCCGACTGGTTCCCTCGGAGGCGGTAGCAGCAACCAACGACTATCAAACTTACAACGACAATCCCAATGAAGGAAACAACTGCTGCAATGATGCCAATATTTGACTCAGATGACGGTTTACCGGTAATGGCCGTTTTTGTTGTAGGAAGAGTTGTAGGAAGACTGATACCTGCAAACGATAGTTTGATGTAAATAGCAATGATGAGGAGATAAATGATATTCAGGCATGTTTATTATTGTCAAATGGACATGCTTGCATTGTTATTGTTGGTATTTAAAGTGCGACCATGTTAAAGTTCTTCATAATACCGACCCGTGAAGGCCCGGGTTAGAATGAACCCTCAGTAACCCATGCTTGTCGTAAGAGGCACTCATCCCAAACAACATACAATTCAATTCATCCATGGTATACATATCACCCATATATATATAAATCATCACACCAAACAAACCACATGACGTACAGACTTCAAGTTGCATACAAATCAGATACCACAAAGCAGAAATATGACAGATCATATATCATCCCATGTCAAATGTCAGAAAGCAAACGTCAGATGCAGCTGACATGTTGTACATAAGAAAGGTTTGACATGACATCCTTAGTGGCTTTTAAAAAAACTGTTTTTGTGTTAAGCACCATTTAGGGCCAGACGATCTCCACGGTAGAATTTATGTCAGCGATGCATTAACACTGTTTGTATAGGAACACTTCTGCTTGAAGCTGCTGGAAAAGGCCAGTCAAAGTACATGATATAGATTTCACTAAAAAACAGTGAAGTGATGTATATTCAATCAAAGGACCTGCACAAGCTCACCCTGGATAGATTCAAGTCCATCACAGGTTAAGATTTGTTTTGGGTCTTGACAGAGAAAGAAGAGTCTTAAAAGACCTGTACAAGCTCACCTTGGATAGATTCAAGTCCATCACAGGTTAAGATTTGATTTTGGTGAAAGGGCCTGTACAAGCTCACCTTGTATAGATTTAAGTCCATCACAGGTTAAGATTTGTTTTTGGTCTTGACAGAGAAAAGTGAGTCTCAAAGGGCCTGTACAAGGTCACCTTGGATAGATTCAAGTCCATCACAAGTTAAGATTTGTTTTTGGTCTTGACAGAGAAAGATGAGTCTCAAAGGTCCTGTACAAGGTCACCTTGGATAGATTCAAGTCCATCACAGGTTAAGATTTTTTTGGTGAAAGGGCCTGTACAAGCTCACCTGGGATAGAATTAAGTCCATCACAGTTTAAGATTTGTTTTTGGTCTTGACAGAGAAAGATGAGTCTCAAAGGGCCTGTACAAGCTCACCTTGGATAGATTTAAGACCATCACAGGTTAAGATTTGTTTTTGGTCTTGACAGAGAAAGATTAGTCTCACATCCCCAAAGTGTAAATCTGCGATGCTCAAGGTGGCGTTGACTGTCATATTCCTTAGTCTGGTCCCACTAGCGGCTGCAGACAAGAGCTGACTGATTTTCCCGACCTGCAGTGTGAAGTTGTTTGCTGAAGAACAGAAGTAATTCAAGATGTTCACAGAAAGGTCTAGTTCCTCGTGCAGCGCAAATGTTTCTGTATTCTTGCCGTTTGTGATGCTGCATCTGGGGACAACTGAAACAAGGAAAGTGTATGTACTCTCTTTCCTTTGTGTGCTAACGTTTTCACAATACATTAGTAATTGCAACATCAACTCAAAGAAAGAAACTGAGCGAAACTAAAGGCAACAAATGTACATACCTACTTTAGAAACTCTTATAAAGATGCTTAGAAGAGATCATGAAATTGGAACTCTATGCAAATACAGAAACTCAAAATAAAATATCAAGTGATTAGACTTGAATCATTTTTATTTAATTAGATATTGTGCACCAACTCTTGGTTGGTACACTGAGTGTGTGGGTGAGTTTGGTTTTACGCCGCTTTAAGCAATAATCCAGAAACATCACAGCAGGGGGCTCCAAAAATGGGCTTCACAAATGGGCTCATGTGGGTAACCGAACCCAGTTTTTCAGCTTGACGAGCAAACGACTTAACCACTGGGCTAACCCATTAAAGTGACAGTATTACCCTTATCATTTTTCGGTAAACGAAAGTTAAATGTTGGAAAATAAAGGAACAAGTACAATTCTCGGGATGATTCATTGTGTGTACAGTGAAAAGGATATCGGATGATTGTAATGGTACGAATCTTACCATTGATGAATTTGATGCCACCACAAGACAAATTCTGCTGCTCGCCGTGACAACGAAACGCCAGTCGAACACCTCCTAAAGATGAAGCAGTGATATTGACAGTTGTGTTAGCTATTGTGCTCGTAGATATGTTCATTGGTTCCGATATAGGCAGCTGGACATTGTCCTCCCCAACCAGCAGCAAGAAGGTATATTGGGCAGAGCAGTAGTATTCCTGTATGTCCACAGTTAGTGACAGTTCCTCATGAAGTATCAGTTTGTCTGTGTTCTGGTCACTTCTGATTTGGCACTGTGGAACATCTAAAAGAAATATAATAATTTGGGATTTTAATAGGCTGAATATAAGTAAATGACTAGTGACGCTTTTTATAATTAGAAACACATCTGCTTGAGTCATGTTTTCAAACCTAATGGTTTTCACGTGGGTTTGCCTCTATTCGTCATATCATATATTCTCAAGCTGAAATATTGTGGAGTGCTAACAAGTAAACAAAACCAAAATAAGACCAGTTATCTTTCAATTCTTACATAGTGGTTTTAAATCCAGAGTTGTGACAGTCTAGTTCACTGATATTATAATCTGAATAAAGATACTATTCAAATATAAGTTGTTTCAGTCACGCACACATGCACGCACACACTCACTCAATCACTCACTTGCGATGAATAGAGAGCATGATGCCTCAGAGCTAATTTCTGCAGCTCCTGCAACGGCGCACGTCCACTGCCCGTCATGCTGTGGTTGTACATTCCGTACCGTGAGAGTAGTGTAAGTGTTGTTGTGTAAGCTTGCTGTATATCCCTCCACAGATGTACAGGATAAAGAAGGAGCACTACATTGCGGGAAAATAACCTGACTTGGCCTCCGATACTCAACAGTGGTGAACGGTACAGACGTAATGCAGGTAATGTCAGTGGGGACACCAAGGTAGGAAATATCAGGACAGTTGATGCTAGTTGTTCCTGTGGAAAATATAATGAAATCATTTAAAATCCGAATTATAAATTATAATCAAATTTACACTATGTTGCAGGTTTTCATAAATTTGTGTTATGCTCTCTGAAATTGCAGGTCCCTAGTATGGTGATCTACCTTAAGTTGTTGGCGATCTACAGCCTATTTTTATATTGTGTTGCCCCTATAGTTGAAATGTTCCAGATTGAATTACTAGTTTTAAATTCCAATCTGTGATAATCTAGTTATTTTACTGTCCTTAGTTGACAGGTTTTTACAGTTTACCATTACTTACTATGTATAAAATTAACTGTTCTCGTCATGATATGGCTGCAATATTGCCGATGTGACGTTAAATTTTAACTCACTCACTCTGAAATTGCAGAGACGACACACAAGGTCATTCACTACTAAAGCCTAGTGTTGCTACTCAATAAAACGAAATTTCTCTGTTCTGAGTTATTTGTATATTATTTCAAGTTTTATTCTCATTACCTAAATTTGTTTTCTTAATGTCGATATCTTTTCTCCAGGTTTTCAGGTATTATTCCCTGCTTTTTGACGATATTTTCTATTTTCAATTTATTGTCTTGTGTCTGAATTTGAAACCACAGGAAGATTTCATTCCTTCTAGTATTTCCTCCATGGTGATTCCATGCATATTCTCGCTACTTTATTTACTTCCTTGTAATTTCTATTATTTTAGAATTTCGAAATTGTTAAGAGATATAAATGACGGCAAAAACTATATGACATAACAGCCAGGATTCGGGAAGTGATTCGGATGAAAGTCATCTCACCAAATATTAAGATATGCCACTGACTTTTCAACACAATATAGCCCTTACATGAAACGTATCCATTGAACTCAAACTGCCGCCATATTGGACCTGACAAATATCTTTGTCCAATGACTGTCTATTTCATTGCGCAAGTATCATCTGAAATGCATCTTTTCTTTGATAATAGAAAACGAACCTTGTCCGAAATGCGCCATGCCGATCAAAAACAGAATGTAGACTGGTGGCGATCTGGTGGTGCGTTTCATCTGCAGACAAGGAAAGAACCAAAAAATATAAACAAACGAATCAGTCCTGATCTGGTATGCGTGTAAACCTAATGTTTGGCTTAAACTATGTGCTCGGCGCCCAGGGCAGCCCCGTTTCGCCGAGACGTTGTGAAATGGGGACAAAACGGAATGGACACGAGAAAGCAAATGGCGACTTAATGAGCAAACCTGACAGTCCGTTATTGCGTGGATGCCATGCCAGATTTTGAAACTGTTTAGTAGGCCGTAGTAGAACAGGGGGAACGCAACAAAACGTTACAGCACATAATAGGACATAACAAAATTTGTAGACAGTCCGTAGTGGGACGGGAGGTACCTGTCTTCCCCGGCATCTCATGGTCCTTTCAAGTTTTGTCACGTTTCGTCACGTTTGTTTGGCGTTTTGTCACGGTTGTTTCACTCTTGCTGCACGTTTTGTCCCGGTTCTTGCGGCAAGCTAGGTTGTATGGTTGCCGATTCGTCCCTATCGCGACACACCCAGGCGTATGACGGTTTACCAGGACGGCGAGAAACGGCACGTTGCGTTCTCTGGCATTCCCTCTCAGTAGTTGTAGAAATGAGAGTTCTGGCGCACTTACGGCTATGTTAACTCTATGGGGCTTTTGTCATCCCCGGGATGATGTAGTGTTATAAATAGCTGCGCCAGGTACTTGAGGTATGTCATTGTTAACCAATCAGAGAGCTCGACGCATTGTGGTGCAATCCCTGTCTGAACTTGCCTTTTTGAGAAAAGTGTGCACTCTCTTTAAGCGCTCTCCGAAACAGTAATTGTCTAACAATACTCAGTGTAGAAACTTCTCATTGCTTTCACCCGGAAGCATGTAATTTGAGATATAGTGAAATATCCTGTGAGGCTAATCTGGTAAACGTGGTAAGTTTGAACTGAACAACATCGCTGTCTCTGATGCAATTATTCCATTCTACATGACTGTTAAGGACCTGGGCATCAATATTGATCAAGAGCTGAGTATGGCTTACCATGTGAATATATATTACGTTGCGAATATCTGCCACTTTCACCTACGTAATATTAGCAGAGTCCCACCACTTCTTGCCGAGGGAGATGCTGTCACTCTTTGTTGAAGTCTTGTGTCTTCAAGGATAGTCTATTGCAATAGTCTTTTGGCGGGTTCGCCTTCATGCCTCACAGATTGATTACAGCATGTACAGCATCACATCTCTCAGTCACAGATTTGACCACATATCTCCAGTGTTGCAAGAACCCAATTGGCTTCCTATCAAGCACAGGATCAGCTTCAAAATTTGACTGTCTACCTCTCAGAACTGATACAACCTTATCGTCCACCTAGATCACTTCCATTAGCAAACCAGAATATCTTGACAGTACCCAAAGTCAAGCTCACATGATTTGGACAACATTCCTTCTCTTACGCTGCTGCTAAAGAGTGGAATGATCTGCCTCACCACATCCGTGCCTGCTTTTTTTATCCCAAATTTAGAAGTCTCCTAAAAACTCATCTCAGCCTAGACAGCGAATGGGACTTCTCCCAGGAAACGCTGCCTAGTCATACCCACCAAGAACTTTTCGGAGAATATGTAGACTCCCCAACACTGCAGCCTTCTGCATTACCAAGAGTGTCAGAAGGGCTGTGATCCCGGCGGAGAACCTGGGCACTCTCCTGATCTGCGCCATTTCAAAGGCGAGGTCCGCATATGTATCATGCTTTTCCTGAATCTTGCCAATCACATTGCCGTCAAAAGGGACAGAAAATTCAATGATATAGATAAATTCATTGGCTTTATCAAAGAGGACAAGATCAGGTTTGTTGGCAGGAATTCATCTCAGGCTGTATATGGGCCTATTCCAGAAAATTTTAAAGCTGTCGTTTTCCATGACGCCCTGGACATGTTCAGGGTCCTACCATGGATGGACCTCGGAGTCAAAGCCACAGGCATGGCGAAGACAGTAATAAAAGCAGCGAGCCATGCCATCATGTTGTTTAAGATATGCTGTTTGTGCCAAGGAAGGGCATCCACTGACAAGGTGTTGGACAGTCTCTGTGAATTCATTGCACAATCAACATTTCATATTGATATTTTCTTGAGAAAGCTTCTCCACAAAAGACCAACTCTGGGCAGACTTGGTGAATAACTTTACCTGGTTTACTCCCATCGCTGTACCGTCCAGCAGTACATCGCCATCAGCAAAATCAACGTCAAATTTCAGATTCTGTCCAACAACCTTGGCACGCTTACAATAGCTGTGGAATTTCTTGCTTTCATCATGAGTCTTCACATGCATCACCTGAGGATCATCCGATAAATAAATATGTGCAAAAGTACACAATAAAATCCTATCATGAAGAGCCTCCACATTAATCAAACCCCGACCTCTAGAATTGATTTGCAAGTATAAACGGTTAAGAGAAGGAACGAGGGTGGTGGGCTCTGTTATCAAACATGATCCTTCTGGTCAGGCGGTCAAGACTCTGGATGTCCTGTTTCGTCCACTCAACTACTCAAAAGGAATAGGAGAGGACTGGCACAGCAAAAGTATTGGTGGCTTTGACCTTGTTTCGAGCATTTTGCTCTGAGCTCCAGATTTTCTTCAAGTGAGATTTATACTCGGCCCTAAGTTTGTCTTGAATCTGGACATTGAGGAGCTTGTCTCGAACTTGCTATCCAAGATAGGTGTAGGCCTGATCTTCCACAAGATGCTCAATAACTCCTCTTCCCTATAACTTGACCGATCCATCATTAGTTACCTTGCCACGTTTTAAATGAAGAGTATTATTATTAGAAAAGAACTCGACAAGGAGAACCTGTTCTTCAAAATTGGTATCTCCTTTGGCAAGGATCTTGATGTCATCCATGTGTCATCCATGAGTAGGAGTGTTGGGGATCTGTGCTGAGGAGGTCCGGGATGGTAATCCTCCTCTTTATTGAGCAGAAAGCTCAAAGGATTTAAAGACAGACAAAAAAGGAAAGTACTAAAGGAATCCCCCTGAAATATACCCCTTCAGATTGGAATAGATTCTGAAGTCTGCACCTGCCCTTGAGAGTACATCTCAAGTTGAATCGACCAGCAACTCATTAAAGACTTGAGAAAATCAAGTAGTCGCTCAGGGAGGTCTTGACAATGAAGAGACTTCAGAATGCATTCGTGAGGGACAGAATCGTATGCTTTCTTGAGGTCAACCATGCACATGAAGAGGTTGAAATGATATGTTTTAGCCTCTTCCAAAATCATTTTCTGTACAAGAAGTTGATCATTGCACCCCCAACATCCCTTTCGTGACCCTTTCTGCTCTCTGTAAATTATGTCATTGGAAGAGCAGTAAGATGACACGAGGTTTGTCAAACACCCTGTGAATGTTTTGTAGTGTGTATTCAAACATGTGATAGGGCGGAAGTTTTTTGGGATCAGTCAAGTCTCCTTTCTTGGGGAGAAGTATTGTATGGCCTTTGCAGAACCGCAGAGGAACATCACCTGTGTCCACCAGAGTATTGAAACAGTAAGTAATGGTGTTTGGACACAAGGGAATAGTTTCCAATACCGGTTTCGAATGCCAACAGGCCCTGGAGATTGAGGTGAGATGTGACAAACAAACGACCTAGTTATTTTCTCATGCATTGCATGGTCATAATCACGGACCCATGGTGCCTCAGGGTTACAGTTGCCGGGTACAGACCACAACTGTTTCCAGAACCTTTCATTGGCATCCATGAGAGGCCGTTTATCATGCTCACCATCACCACTTGTTTTAAGTTGCCTGTAGAAGTGCTTTTCATTATTTCTAAAAGGTTTATGCTGTTTGATGAATTTGTTTTTGTTTTCCCATTTTTTCTAGTTTCCGTTAGTTTTCCTTGAAACCTGTTTTTCTTTGGTGTATTGTTCTTAGTATTAGATGTTTTTTTTAAACTGTGTGATGTTCCTCCAAGGTTCGAGCAGCAGGGTAGACACAACAACTAACTTTATGTAATTAACAGTCCGCAAAAGGTTTCTTAGAAATAATGTCATTTAATAAATTAATTTCATGTTTGGGAAAAGATACATTTGTTTGTTGAATTGGCCTCCGTTTTTCTAAAGATGTAGTAATACAAGACAATTCTTATGGATAACAACTTCTTGATTTATTTTTCACAACGTTTCTGGGCTAGTTCTTGCCCCTTCTTCAGGTGGATAATGGTGATAGTGAACAGTACAGTATAATATATAGATGTACAGGAAGCCGGATATGTAAATTGAGTATATACAAGGGTAAAGGGAGGTATAATTAAGTATGTACAAACAATGCATTAAAATCAAAGAGCAGAATACAATGGTAGGGTATGTTTTTACAATAAGGGCAAGGGTGTGTTCACATAGCAGAGTGGTTAAAGCAGATAGAGTTTGAGAGTCTATGATTTCTGGGTGATGAACAAGGCGCTGGGGAGGTAAACCCCTTGATCTCTGTTGACCTCAGGCACTACAGGCGCTGGGGAGGTAAACCCCTTGATCTCTGTGGATCTCAGGCACCAATCTTCGTATATTGATTGACTCACACAGATTTCTTTTGCGCCAATTGCTGATGTTGGAAGCAAGGATTTCGGTTTTTTTGCAGTTGATAGAGTGGTTGGGATTGTTAACGATGTGTTCTGAGAGGGCAGATTTGAGATCAGATTTTCCAACTGAAGTTTTGTGTTCTTTTAGTTTTATGTTGAAGGGCCGACAAGTGTCTCCAATATAGCTGCTCCCACAATCACAACTAATTGTGTAGACACATTCTCTGGGATTGGGTTCTCCCTGGTTTCTGCTACCTTTTCCATTCGCTCTCAGGATGGTTGTTAAGGTTTTGTCGGAATAAAATGTCGCATCAACACTGGCTGTTTTTCTAAGGAGTCGACTGATGTGATGGCTAATCTGGCCTTGGTAAAATCACGGTCCTTGGTAAAATCACAGCCCACCCAAATCCGAACCAGCTCACATCCGAATCTACATTCCTTACCAAGGCCAGATTAGCCATCACATCAGTACCGCTTTTCTTAGATAGCCAGTTTCTTACTAAAGGCACTGTTTGTTGATATAATGTAATAAAGTTGTTATCTTAATTCAATTGTTAAGATTGAGTTTAATAATAACAATCCTATCAAGATGGGGATGGGGGGGTCACTTTTAGTTTTGATGGGGGGCAATTGTCCTGGGGGGCAATTATCCTAGGGGGCAGTTGTCCGGGGGACAGTTAGCCTGATACCATCGACGGGGTATGACTGGGCCTTTAAGGCCCATGGTAACAGTTAGTGTATGTAGATTTCATATTAATAATCTGTATTTAATTTTTATAAACTGTTATTTTTTAAAATTAACTGGTGTATTTAAGGACTTAAGTGGAAGGATTACATGGAAACGTAGCCATATCCGATGTACAGTTACGTTTTTATGTGTAATCAAAGTTACGTTCGGGCCTCTCAGGCCCCCGGTAGCAGGACAAGGGTTAATGGAAGATAAATATATGAGCTGATGACATATTTTTGATTGGTCCTGTGAAGAATATGTTTTACTTTTGGAACTTACACTTTCTTTTGTTTTTTGCAGCCACGTTCAGCAATGACCCAACTATACAAAGGTAATACATCATCGAGTCTGGACCATGACTTCAAATGATCGATATTGTTTGAATTTCAGTGACAGTGGCTTAATTATGTAACCAGACCGATCCCATTACGACCAACATAGGGACCAGGTGTAACCTGAATCTCCACGGGGTCTACTCCATTATTTACAGGTGTGATGAATGAGAAGGTACATCAATTACAACCCGCAACACGAATATATAAAGTGTGGCTCAATGTATTATGAGGCATGTACATATTAATGTCAGTATCAGTGTCCTAACATGGATACCCGTGAAGGTCCGGGTTAGAATATTGATCTTCAGTAACCCATGCTTGTCGTAAGAGGCGACTAACGGGATCGGGTGGTCAGGCTCGCTGACTTGTTTGACACATGTCATCGGTTCCCAATTGCACAGATCGATGCTCATGCTGTTGTTCACTAGATTGTCTGGTCCAGACTCGATTATTAACAGACCGCCGACTTTTAACTGGAATATTGCGGCGTAAAACTAAACTCACTCACTCACCTACTATGGATCTGCTTGACATTTATTCATACTTTTTAACAACCATTGTGGTATAAATAAAATCCCTGTGTGATCAGTTTCAATGTCTGTTTCACCAGAAAAAATGGGCTTCCCACATTGTAGACATGTGCGGAATCAAAACCGGGTCTTTGGCGTGACGAGTGAACACTTCAACAACCAGGCTACCTCACCGCCCCATGGAAAACGACAACAGATTTTATTCGACAAAAAAAAAATAAGAATAACATGATTAAGTGCATATCACGTGTGTGCTTTTGAATGACAAATGCCATGTATTAATAATCATGACTTATTATTTAGCATGAAATACAATGTTTATATCCAAATACATGATATATAACCTCCATGCATACGGTAGCAAAATTATAATATCAACATTATAATATATTTCTTATCAAAGAAAATAATCAACGTTTACTCTCTGGCATTAAAGTAGGTATGTTCTAAACCATTATTTGGGAGGTAGCCCAGTGGCTAAAGCCTTCGCTCGTGACACTGAGGTCCCGGATCTATTCCCCACATGGGTACAATGTGTATCACCCGACTTGATCACCCGACTTGCAAAGCTAAACTCACTCTCTTAACCAATATGCTCATGATTCTGTTGAACATTAACATAACGTGTGTTATTAGATTTAGATACATTCCATATGTAAAGATTCTACTCACGATGGCTTTCATGCTTTTACCCTGACCCTGACTCCATCCCTCCAATGACAGCTCACGGGTATCATGGTAGATATCTATATATTCATTCCTGAATTTGGAATTCAACGTTCCTGATTTCACAATCATCTATTCAGTAGTACTTCACAATAGAATTCAAATAACTTCCTTGTATGTTTATCTATTCATTGCATTTGTGTATTTGTTAAACTAGTCCATTCAAACCAGATCAGTCAATAATCACTAACAAAATGTTTCCTCACATCAGGCCTGGAGGTGTGAAATGTTTCCTTTTCGAAGCTGTTATGCATACTGCAACCCGATGATTATTGTATGTAATTCAATACAGGCTGAAATAGCCTTGTTTTGTTTGTGTTGTACTTGTAGGTATGGACAACTCAAACCTGTCAAATATTGTCACGAGTATGTGTACATTTATGGATTGAACACACAATGATATTCAGATTGACTCAATTTAAAGTCACATCGACAGTATGTCAGACATACTGTGACTATACTATATAGATGTTACCTGCTCACAAGGTATGGTAAAATAGACAATGTCCAGTGCAACAAACGTTATAGAGATTACAGAATGAGTGGCTGTTGAATATGGAAATATGGCAACGAGATATTTTTAAACGAGTTGAGTTATTCACGAGCGAGACGTTGAGCTGGGATATTTTCCATATTAAACATCTACGAGATTTGTGAAACGGACCATGTACGTCCATGTAGTCGAAATTAATCATGTAAATTCCTGGACAAATTATTTGCATACCTTTGCTCCGTTTGCATTTCATCAGTCTTAAAGTCCATTGTTGTTGTTATGTAAGCCATTGTGGGTGATGTTCATGGCTGTAGAAAGAACTACATGACTCATATTGAGAGACACGTTTATTCTGTGACAGATATGGTTATTATATAAATCGTTGCAATTGCATAAAAAAATAATTTAATCTGAGATCATTAATTGTATGTCGGCATAAATGATGTACGTATTTGGTGGCTGTGGTTGCTTGTGCGAATATGGGTGTGATTGTGGATGCCGTTGTGGATGTTATAAAATGATAACAATTTTATAAATTGTATATGATAAAGCAATAACGATGATAACAAATCAGAGAATATATGACTATCACTTAGATTGTTGCCTTAAAATGATGCATACGCCAGACAGATGCTTCTGTTTTCATGAAATAAACTGGTTGAAATCCTTGGAATCTTGTGTGAAACAACAATATCACAATACACGTTTGGGTCATCAAAACCTGCACAGGCAGGAGGAAATCAATTTAAGGATCTCAATCTATATGAACAAATATTAGGAAAAAAGCTATTACCTAGGTCACAACTCCCCGTACACGTAACTTGGAAGTAGAGACATCTGTCCTCAGTAGCCTATGCTTCTTGTAAACGACGAACAGGTATACCATGTGTCAAAGCTGAGTGACTATCAGGTCATCGCCAACTGCAGGGTCATTGATCATTGTATTTATAGACTACCGGCCGAATATGGTATTACACAACAAAGCAGCAAATGTACATAAATTGAATACAACTATATGTCACTGACTTTTTATAAACTTATATTTTCACACCTTTTTACGTACAGGTTATTCTGTACATAATTCTGATATACACTTATCGTTCAGCTCCTGTTTGTTTCTTTTTTCCTAATCACAGTGGTATAAGTTTCAACATCTTCCTTTCTTGTCTCTGTCTTTCCTCTTGTTCACAGTGGCATACATTTCATCGACTTTCTTTTCAGATTCGTCATTCTTCATCGAATCTGACCTGTTAATGACCTGTTCTGTTTCGGAATTGTTTACTCGGTTGGAAACTGAGACTAGGTTTTGGACTGTTGTTATTGGTTTAGAGACAATATCTACACATGCATACGGGCTGACATCTCCTGTGGCTTGTGTGGGATTCGATGATTCCATGGCTTCGCTTTGTTCACTGACTGGGTCAGTTACCGTGTCATGCTTTGGCTCCGGTATCGTGTCATACGTTGGTTCAATTTCTTCTCTTGATATCTGATCTGATCTGACTTTTTCGCTGTTACTCTGCTGTTTTCTTCTTTTCAGGACACATGCAGCGACGATAACACCGATGAGTATCACAATCAAAGGGACGACAACAGCTAATATAGTAATCCATGATGTTCCTGTTTCATTTCCAGCTGCTGGTCCCTTGTCTGAAGTGAGACAAAACACAACATTCATCTTACCAGTATACAATATACAGCACCATATATGAAGACATTGCCATGTACATAAGATATGATAAACCAAAAACAAGACCGTAAGAAAGTTTTATTTGCACTCTTTAATATATCATAGGACTCTATATGAGATTTCTATCCTTCGGATTTCGGCATTGCATCCTGTTAATTATACGTGCGATAGTTTGTAATCCGAGTATATAATCTACAGGTCACTGAGTATGTGTATGTGTGTAGGTACGTTATGTAGATTCTGATGAACTTTATTCGAATTCAGTTCCAGGCCAATGTGCAATTGGTTTCTTTCCTCATTGACGCTGGTCGTAAGAGGCGAACAGCAGAGTAGTCAGACTAGAGGATTTGGTTGACACATGTCATCGTATCCCAGTTGCGTAGATGCCCATGCTGTTGATCACTGGATTGGCTGATCCAGACTCCATTATTTACAGAAAGCCGCCACATAGCTGGAATATTGCTTAGTACGGCGTTAAACAACAAACAAACAAACTGAAGCTGCATTATAAGCGTATATAGTTCATTGGTGTGAACAAGAAAACATGGGCTTATTGGATTTCCTTGTTTAGATCAAAGTTCTCCTCTGCATATTATAATCAGTGTCTATAACTGAGATTGTTAGTGACCATACCCTGACTGATGTCTGAAGTACCATAGAGATATTGTCTATATGACAGAATATAATTTACATCATGGCTCGATTTATTTTATTCCTACCAGTGTTAATCCTAATATACATGTACACATCAATTGTCAGTTTCACGATCAACGTGTTAACGTGTTTGAAGATTGCTTCAACCTACTTTTGACCCGGAGCTCACAAGATGCAGATCCTCCAGTATTACCAGTCAAACACGTCCACAGCCCTTCATGTCTTGACTGTACTTTCAGTATCTTCAGAATAGTATGAGTGGTGTTGATAATGATTCCGTTGAATCCCTCCACAGGTGAACACAAAGACATGTTTGCATGACACTGTGGGGCAATTGAGCCGTTTGGTCCTCTGTATTGGAGGATATTGTAAGGTGACGACGTGGAGCATGACAGTTGAGCAGAACCACCAAGGTATGTTACATCAGGGCAGGTTAGTGTTGTCGTACCTTTCGGCAATAAAGCACATAAACAGTGGACAGAGCATGGACAATGTTCACATGATCAATCAAAATAGAAGCAGGTGGAAAGACAATTCTACACTGTCATTTTAACATTGTTCATATATTTGCTGCTTGTATGGTATGGTGCTACGACAGTTTATTTTGTTCGTATACGCATGTTTGTAACTTAACATCGTACTCAGCAATAATACGGCTATATGACGGCAGTCTGTAAATAATCATGTCTGAACTAGACAATCCAGTGATCAACAGCATACGTATTGATCCTTGCTGTTGGGATACGATGGCATGTGTCAACCAAGTTAGCGAGCTTGACCACCCGATCTCGTTAGTCGCCTCTTACGGCAAGCATGAGTTGTTCAAGATCAATTCTAACCCGGGTAATCACGGGTTGGATAGGTATGTTAAATACGTCATTTTGCAAATGCTTCTGCTTGAGAACACTTACAGAGTGCTGTGCATGAAATGCAGGCGGTAATGAGGGCGAATGTTCTGTTAGCTTGCTGCATCATCTGTCAACACAGTATAGATAATATGTACATCCACAACATTCTGGTATCATTGACAAAAAGAACACACTGGAATCATGATTAATGCCTATTGCCATATGACTCTTCTGTACATGTGTATAATTTTTACTCTGAATCTGATAACCATTGGTAGTGACAAGAATTATATATATTCTTCAAAAAAAGAATTTTAAAGAGAAATATATGTAATAACGTTACAAGCTCATAGTATGTAATGTTACACGTGTTGAGGCACTGGTTGTCAGAAAAATAATGACAACAAGTTGTCCACTGTGAAAACAGATGAAAACATCTGCTTTTTGTCAAAACGCATTCGTGTCAAATAAATTTGTTTGAGAGATCTTCATGTTCTGCACGTGCAACATGAGCAAAATCCCTATAAAAGTGACGGGTTTTCGGTTTCCATAGCTCAGTGTTAAGCCACCGACACGCAAAACAATCAAGCCAAGACTGAATGAAGCACAACGCAACAACGCTTTGAAGCAGGTGAATCTCGATTAAATGTGACCTTCGGGATAGGACCACCACTGCGACGTCTACTGCCTCAACCATACCAGGGCTGCGTAGGATTTCAGATCAGACCGTACGCAACCGTCTACGAGATGCAGGAATCCGACCTCGACGTCCGGTCAGAGGCGTCATCCTCACCCAGCAACATCGTCAAGCACGGCTGCAGTGGTCTCGGGCACATCGGGTATGAATCACCCGATGAATCACGTTTTATGCTTCGTAGGCAGGATGGAAGGACCCGTGTTTACCGTCGGCGAGGTGAACGTTTTGCAGCAACCTGGGTGGAGGAAGTTGACAGATTTGGTGGTGATAGTATCATGATGTGGGCTACCATCTCCTACAATGCCAGAACAAACCTTGTGCACATTCGAGGGAATCTTACGGCTCAACGATACGTCGACGAGATTCTGAGGCCCCATGTGCAACCAATCATGGTGAATGTCAACGACGTTTTCCAGCAGGACAACGCCCGTCCTCACACAGCCCGGCTCATCACTGCCTTCTTGAGAAACCACAATATCAACGTTCTTCCCTGGCCCTCCAGATCACCAGATTTAAACCCCATTGAACATCTTTGGGACGAGTTGGACCGACGTCTGCGACGGCGACAACCTCAACCGCAGACTCTACCTCAGCTTGCAGCAGCTTTGCAAGCTGAGTGGACAGCTATTACACAGAATGTGATTCGTCATCTCATCGCTTCCATGGGTAGGAGATGCCAATCAGTCATCGATGTTCACAGGGGGCATACTCGTTATTGACGTTGAGTGACGTTAACTTCACCTAGTGACCGTGGACTTCACCGTTGCAGACTTTGGATGTTTTCTTCAGTGCATGTGCCAAGTTTCACAAATGTCATACAGAACTACCCGGAATAAACTTTTTCACAAATTGTCTCAAATATTGCATTTAGAGTTTCTTTTTTTTAAATAGTGTATAATGATATACTACAAAATGATTCCTCCTGGCGATGGTCGTCGTCACACCAAACCATCGATAAGAGATTACTAACGGGGGTACATTATAAAAGGCAGTCTGCATCCAACACATTTCCATTCGTGGTGGGATAGAAACGATGATTTCGTGTTGATCTGAGAATAGGTGTGAGTGGTGAGATAGAGACAATGTGTGTTTGTTGCACTAAGGGTGTGAGTTGTGGTTTTGAAACGATGTTTCTTGATCTGAAACTGGGACTAAGTGGTCGGATAGAAACGATATTTGTTTCTTGATCTGAGACTAAGCGTGAATGGTGGAATAGAAACAGGTCTGTTTGTTGATCTGTGGCTGAGTGTGCATGATTGGGAAGAAACGATATTTATCTTGATCTGAGGCTAAGCATGAGTGGTGGAGTGAGTGAATTAGTGAATGTAGTTTTACGCGGCGTTTAGCAATATTCCAGCAATAGCACGGCAGGGGACACCAGAATGGGCTTCACCATGAGTGGTGGAATAGAAACGATGCTTGTTTGTTGGTATGAGGCTGAGTGCAAGTGATGGGATGGAAACAATGTTTGTTTGTTGATCTGAGACTGGGTGTGAGTGGTGGTGTTGAAACGATGTTTGCATGTTAATCTGAGACTGGTTGTGAGTGGTGGGTGAGTGGATTGTTGGACTGGATAGAAACGATGTTTGATTGTTGGTCTCAGACTGGGTGTGAGTGGAAGAGAAACGGCGTTTGTTCCGATGAGTCAGGTGGTGGACACTAGTGAAGTTTGCTTGTTAAAATCTAGAATTTAGATATGATGCACATGATGGTGGCACTTTGACTTTTCAGACTGTATTATTACTCAGTCATCAAATGAAGAAAACTACGAGGATGATATTTATTATATTAACAATAGCGATAAAATGACAGTGGACGTCAATAATTAATTAGTGAGGAACGTTACTGTTTATGACCTCGTAGAAGTCAGGAGTTGATCCAGGAGTAAATAGTCCCGACAGGTAAACACTGAAATGTGGATGCTATGTTGCCGTTAGATGCACATCATTATATATTCTGGGTGATCACAATATACATTCGTAATAATCTTTAAAAGTCGAACCACATTGATCTAAGCATTCTGTCGACCAAGCGCGCAAGCAAGACTGCAATATCTAAAGTATCCTTACCTTGTGGGAATATTCCTAAAGCATTTCTGCAGTCTCTCCCTACATGAACATGAACATGAAATCTGATATCGTGAACAGCAATGGCTAAAAATAGGGCACACATGCGTAGACACGAACATACCATGTGTAAACAAACAGGATTGTCAACATGGTAGGTATGGATTTGACACGACTACCCCTTAACAGAAAAGAGCAACACAGACATGATAGCAACACAAGTTATAAATCCATTGTACAAATCTGAATAGGGTATGTGCATACCGTCTGAATTAAGAGCAAGTCTCAAAAATACATTCACGTGAGGATCTGACCATGGGCGACACAACATGGATCTTGCTCCAGTGCCCAACGTGAAAAGATCAGCGTGTTTCAAAAGGCTGTGGTTTCTTTTCACAGATAATCCGCTTTCAACTGCAGCATTGACACCCGATTCAAATAACGTCCTTTACAGACTGTCTCTTTCAGATCGTATTACATAAAGATTGTAGTGGGAACATTATGAACATAAAATGTCTGTCCATGAAAATATAAAAGCATGCGACGTGCATAACAACCCATTCACGTCAACACACCCAGTCACCTAACATTCTATTCTTTCGTGTATGGAGGATTTTAAGACTGAATTGCTTGTTCTTCGATGTAGCTACCCGTCGTACAGGTTGCACTAACGCCTTGGTGTTCAATTTGGGTAAGAAAATGGAATTAGAATTTGATTTACAATTGATATGTGCTGGCCTCTTGGTCGGACCTATGACACTTGGGACGTAATACAACAGGGTTGTTGTGCTTTGGTAATTTATATAATATCCTTAGACATCGCAGTCCTCAAATTATCCGTTTGTTTGTTTGTCATGCAATGCAATATTGCATGTTTTCAGAGATACTATAGGCTTTTAGACGGCAGTGTCCACTCACTTAACAGCCAGGTGTGTTGCGTCACACAGACATTGCAAATTATCGGGTGGTGCCTTGTGTTTAAGATAAAGCTGTCTGTCAGAAGGAGTAAGATGTCTTACAGTTGTTCGCGTAATTAACACAGTGAATGTTTCTGTGGCATCAGGAAGACCACAACACCATTTGTCAAGCTATTGAAGTAATTGTCCAGTATCATATGTCAATCATTACATAGCTACAGTCCGTAATTTAATACCTTTGTTTTTGTGTTTGTATATGTGTGTCCTTTTTGCGTTTTTTACAATATCTGAAACATATTACACAACTGTAGTCTAACCCATCCAACCCTGCATTTAGCTGTGTCTTTAATTCTCTTTGTGAGGACTTGTACAACTAAACGTCTTCTCTTCTTCCGCCTCTTTGACTAGGAATTAAACGATTCCTTCCTGCTCCTTCCCGCTTGCTTTCTTCTCCTCCTTGGCAATTAGTGAGGCCATAAGTTGAACTAATACTGAAAACATTTAAACAGTGTGAAACAAATTAATAATTAATAGACATCTTCAAAATATACAATATATCTTATTTTCCGACTCTCTCTCGTGCCTTCTTTCTGGTAAACATCCACTTTTAATTGAAATAATTGAATTATATAATGACCTTGCTTCTGGCCAATACGACATCGTCCTCTGCTGGTTACCCAGCCATGTTGGAATTTCAGGTAACACAACGCCCGATTTTGCTGCAAAGGGAGCACTCAACAAATCTGTGACACCACTTTTTATTCCATACTCTGATTACAAAGCTACCATTAGATCATATGTCCGTGATCTGATGCAGAAGACGTGGGACATCCAAGTGGGTATGAATAAATTACATTCAGTTAAACCAACTATCGGTTACACCTACTTTGGTTGTCAGTCCAGATTTGAGGAAGTCATTATGCGACGATGTCGCATTGGCCATACGCGATATACTCACGAATATTTATTGAAAGGCGAGGATCCTCCGTTTTTTATCCTTGTTGAATCATCATTTAAAAATATTTGTTTTAAAGAAATATAATTATTAGATGCATTTTTAACAGTATGTTTGTAAATAGATAAATAGTATTTCATAAATGGTAGTATAAATTAGCAATTAGGGGGTTAAAGTATTGTAAAATTATTACACTAGTTTGGATGATGTTGGGTGGGGTTCTGGTTACGAGGACATCTAGAAAGGGAAGTTGGCCGTTGGTCTCTTTTTCTGTGGTGAACTGGATGCGATGATGTTGTTGGTTGAGGTGATGCAGGAGGGTTTCTTGGTCTTGGTCCTGTTGTAGGATGACGAAGGTATCATCGACCTTCATGTACCAGCAGATGGGTTTTATAATATACACATATTCCTTATCAACGTCAAAATTGTTCTCGTCACGATATGGCTGAAACATTGCCCATGTGACGTTAAATATTAACTCGCTCACTCTTCGTCAGGTGAATTTCATATAAGTATACTCTTCGTTATGTGGTGATGTGCCGCCCTGTGCATACAGCTCAGGTCACAATTCAGTTGCAGTTAAGCAACGTTGGACGCGAAGAGTCGTTGGATGGATGGCATGTGTGACAGCTTGACTCCTGAGAATTTCTAGGACTTCAGTCCTCCTTCACCACGGAACACATGTGGTATATGGTCTCACATTGGGCAAGTGAGTTTCTGAACTGATACTGATTTCGCCTCAAACACTTTTCCGGGCTAATAATGTGTTACAAAGTTTGTGGAAGGCGCTTTATAAATGGCCATTAGTATTCTTTATTCATGAGTGTCACTTACTAAATGCCTTTCAAAGACCAGGTGTTCGATCAAAGGGTACGCACTAACATGTTATCACGAATATTGTTACCACGTGATCAGGAAAATGATAAAGGACTTGAACTCAGTAACTCCATTTATGTTCATGTACTTGGTACAACTGATATTAAACTTAATTCAGTTTACATATTCCACATCCATATTTATGTATTTAGTTCTTTCATGTTTGACATTACCACTGATGGATGTTTTACCACGTGTTCAGGAAAGTACAGATATCCTTTCATGTCAGTAACATTGATTATAGGACACCTGTGACCGCCTCCGTGGTGTAGTGGTAAGAGCGTCCGCCCGGTGAGCGGAAGGTCGCGGGTTCGATCGTACTTTTTGGGATTACGGCCTAATCCCTCGAATTTTTGGTCATACCCCACTTTGCCGGACAGCTGGTGTGATGAAAACGGATTAAAAGTAACGGTCCGGTAGCTTGCCTGCTATAGTCTGTTTTCAATAAAAAGTTGTCACCCGTAGTCTCATTTGGGGGACATGAGCATTCGAACTCATTATTACAGTAATTTATAATTGTATATTCTATTTTATTTGTTATATATATTCTGTTTTTGTTTCCAGAACTCCGGAGAGATGTTCCCGAAGCAGTTCCTTTCTACGGTATTCGTTCCAGCCTGTACCGATCTCAAGCCAAGGAAATGCCAAACCTGCCACGCCGGTGCTACGACATCGACCTCCCCGACAGCTTCACCAGGACGGCTACCAACGCAGACTTCCTGCTCCATGCTACTGACCACAACAAGATCATGATATTTGCTATGGATGAAAACCTTCGTCACCTTGCAATTTCTAAGCTGCAGAACGGCGGTTCCAGACGTCCCAGGAAGAAGCTGTATGGAGCCCTGGATGATCGTCTTGCAGTGCTGAAGGTGCGCGTCTCGTGAATGGGGCTTACATCCCAGAGGCAAATAACAAATTGAATTGCTGAAATAAATAAAATCGAGATGAAGTATGTTGAGTGACCGTTTGTTAGATCGAAACAGACTGTAAGTTAATCCCCTACTGATATAGGGATTATCGCGCATCAGCGATTTTTTATTCCGAACAAAAGCGTCCGACAAAACGGGAACCCCCCCGAATTTTGAACAGTCAGCAGTGCCGATCCGTCGAATCATGCTTGAGTGGTTCTGTGCTAATCGGTCGAATTTCAGACCGTGTTAACACACTGGGAGAATCTAAGTTCAATAATTAAGGGGTCGGCTTGTATTGGAATAGAGTACATGTTTTCTTAAATAGTTTCGCTTCCACTGTGTGTCAAGCTTAGTTTCAGCAAACTTATTTGTCCATTTGATAATATCCTCAACATTTTCAGGACTGGCATACAAAGTGAAGGCTTCCACTGGATTTTGATTGGTTACTTTTCCTTTCACCTGGCGAATATTCTATCCCAATAGTTATAGCCTTGGGGGCCGTTTGGACCCCGCTCCATAAGACAAGGGTTAATGCATCAATTTCAATTTTATACAAAAGTACAAAAATAAAGAGAGTCCAAGCATGTATTTAATGTTTCAATTTCTCATTGTATCATATGAGTAGGCAAAGATAAGTACAAAAGTACAACAATAAAGAGAGTCAGACCATCCAACACCCCTTGCGTCTCTTTCTTGGTATGACCCAATGTTTTGATAACTAATTCATAGCTAAGACCACAGTGCTCATCCGTCGAATGCATTTTACTACTCTGAAATCAGGAATTCGACGGATCGGTACGCGACCCTTTTTGGTCCCTGCCTGGCGCTCGGCATTAATGGGTACATCAAGGACTGGTCGGCTCGGAGTCAGTATAATGTGTCTGAGTGAGGTATTCATTCTTCACTGCGGCATGGTATCTCAGTGAGCTAGCACAATAAACCCAGCTTGAGTCTGGGCTAGTACAATCAGCCACACATACACACGCATGCGCGTCGTCATATGAGCGAAATAAGTGCGACGTTAAACCCACCCCACCTCACCTCATCTGGGTGTATGATAATGTGACATGATATGGGGGACATAACTCCTACTGACTTCTCTGTTTTTAGAACCCGGATACGAATCTGCGGCAACAGTTCGGCTTTCGATGATAAGGATTTAGACTTCCACTTTATACTCAGCTCCATCTTTGTCTGATACACCATCCACAATATTAAAACAGTGACGAACTGCTTGGATTCAATTTAAGGCGACACCAATACGACTTACTTAAATAGTGATTGAAACCTACATGTACCAACAGATAATTGAAATTGTCAGCACTAAGTGGTATTACCATTGCTGTGTTGAACATGATTTCATGTATGTACATTTATCTCATATCACATATAGTCACTCCCAAGTACCCAATATTTCAGCCTCCGTGGTGGTGCACCTAGTGTAAGGTAAGAGTTGTAATCATTATCTATTCAGTACAACAACTTCAACATGAAATACCTCCTGGTAGCAGATGTCCCGGTTTCACATTTCGGTTTGCGTCACCCATCTCCGGTCCATGCATATTCATCATGACTGACAGATTGATGGCTATAATATCGTGTTAAAATGAATCCAGACAGTTAGTCACTGTTTTAGCATTTTTAGCTGATTTTAACTTGGATGTTTGAACGAATGATATATATTGACGACCTGAAAAACAAACTGTTGTTTTGGTAGCTGTGCTTTGTTGGGTTTTTATTTGCTTTTGTTTTGGGGGGGATGTTTAGGGCTTTTTTTCTTTCGTCTTTTTTGTTCTTTGTTATTTTCTCTTTTTTTGTGCTTTTTGTACTGTGTATTACATGGATATGCATACGTTATTCTGTTTCCTTCAATGCTACAGCAATTGCGTTGTGGGAGAAAAGTCCTGTCAACACTGTGTTAGGTATCCGATGTTTACAGACGACATTGCACAATGCCACAAGGGAGATAACTCATGTAGGCTATTTAATTACTGTGGCTGGTGTTGATTGGTATCGGTCTTGGCATCAGCATGCAAGTGTTTGCGTCATTTGTGTAGCGTTCACTTTGTATTGCTTCATGCAATGACACTGCATGCATCTGTTTCCATGTGTAATACTGATATTGTAGCCCACACGCCTATTCACATGAAGCACCATTCAATATGCAGTTATTTATTTCATCGATTTACTGGTTGACATTAGGGTGTGTTCACCCTCGGATCTCGGCCAATAAGGCTTTACAAACAAAATGTGTGAAATTCAGGGTCTACACAGGGTCTATGGTATTTGCGACAAGGACACATCAACATTGTTATTTTGGACAAGGACACAGAGACTGTGGTATTTGGGACAAGGACAGAGGGATTGTGGCTACCCCACCGCCCGACTATGCTTTAGAACATTACGCATAAAGGGAGACAAAGCTTCATATCTTAAATCCGCGTATGTCAGTCAGGTATATAATTATGAACTTGGATTTTCTGCTTCGATTTTATGTCTATTATTAGTCACTCTCATGTAGGTGGAGAGAAGATTCAGGTTCACTCAATTGCGCAGATCGATGCTCATGCAGATGATCACTGGATTGTCTCGTCCAGACTCGCTTATTTACAGACCGCCGCCATATAGCTGAAATATTGCTGAGTGCGTCGTGAAACATAACCCACTCACTCACTCACTAATGTTAACTAAGGCCGAGAAGCTGCAATGGATGCTCATGTTTGTTTGTTTGTTTGCTTGCTATATAGTTTTAAATAAAATGTGATGTACTAGGTATTGTTCTCTCCTTTGGCTACAGGATTTTATAACCTTTAAATATATATCCTGCTATTTTTATTGCTGTATAAGGTTCTCTCGTCATGATATGGCTGAAATATTGCCGATGTGACGATAACTTTTAACTCACTCACTCACTAATATTATCACAACAATTTATGTTTGTCAAAATATTTTGAGAAACCTACAAGAGTTATTTCCCATACCGCGGCGGAGGTAGAAACGATGAGCATGAAAATAGTTTGCACCTATATGCATCTGAAGGGTAATGCATTCAGATCTTCGGCCTCAGGGGCAGTGAGTGAGTGAGTTAAGATTTAAAGTCACATCGGCAGTATTTCAGCCATATAGTGACTAAAACTAGTTCTAAATTCATAATACATACATATAATATATAAAACCGTGTCAACGAAGGACAGTAAATTTTCTAGATTATCACAAAATGAGTTAAAACAAGCTAGCATATATGTATAAACGTAGAAAACTATTTTTGGACAATACAATGTAACATTTGGCTTTTGATCGCTACCAACTGACTGGGGAAAGCCTAGTGGTTATAGCCGTCTCTCGTCACGCCGAAGGCACGGGTTCGATTCCTCACAAGGGTAGAATGTGCGAATCCCATTTCTGGTGTCCCCCGTCGGCCTTAGGAAATACGGCTACAAACGGGACGGACCATCCCATATTACCTGGCAAATGGCCGTGTGACTACCAATCAAGGGACGTACATGCATGTACGTATAGCTGGAATATTGCTGAGTGCAGCGGGAAAATAAACTCACTCACTCGCTTTTAGCAGGCTGATGCCGGTTAGATTGTTCAGTCAGGAAATGATTCGGCGTTATTTATTCTCACGACAGCAGGATATTCAATGCGTGTACACAGGGAAAACTAGCAACTTGTTATTGTGTCAGTTTGTGTCGATGCAAATATCTCCGTACTTGTATTTTACTGCTACATTATTTCGTATGTTGCTAGTCACTCTTTGAATCGGGGAGAAGAATCAGGTTCACTAAGGCTGAGAAACAGCTACTGTTTGTCATTTTCGATAGCTGTGACGGAAGCGGTGTGTTTATTTGTCTGTTTGTTCGTTTGATTTTTTTGGTTTTTTGTTTGTTTTGTTTTTGTTTGTTCGTTTCATGGTTGGTTGGCAGGCTGGTTGTTCAACACCAAAAACAACAGCAAGACTTATGGGAAATGTGGTATCTCCGTGCTAAATTCAGAACGTTTTTTAACTTGCTTTAACTTTCGGTGCTTTCACAACTGGTATACATAAAAAAACAGGAAGTATTTGAATGTATTCACTACAAGTTGCAGTTTCTGTTGATCTGAATGAGTAATACATATCACCGTTATCGCCGCTATATTTTGTTTGACCTTCACCTTACATGCTCTAACACGGAAGATGAACCTGAAACTGACACTAGCTGTCAGTCAAACTGTAGTGAATGAGTGAGTGAGTGTTTAACGTCACCTTTTGCAATTTTCCAGCATTATCTCGGCGGGCGACAACAGACACGGACTTCACACATTGTATCTACGTGTTGAATCGGACATATTCATCACAAAGCCAAATGAGCAATATTCCAGCTACATGACGGCGGTCTGTAAATAATCGAGTCTGGATCAGACGATCCAGTGATCAATAGTATGAGACTCGAGCCTGTCCACCCGATCACGTTAGTCGCCTCTTACGACAAGCATGGAGCGCTGCTAAAGACAAATTGAAAGTCAAACTGTAAATATAAATCTGTAGTCAGTTTCACATGATTTTAATTACACTTGTCTTGTTTACATATTTATAACAATGTTTCTTAATACATGATTTGAGTTTGCTCCAATCAGACAATGTACTGGGACATGTTTGGTTTGCTTGTTGTTCAACGAAGAAATTACACACACGATTTGTGCACAAACAATATCCGAGAGCTATAAAACTGCTGAAACAAATATCTGCACATGATATAGACACAATTGTACAATCGACGCTGCTTTCGTCACAGATTTCGTACGAATGTGGTCGTTAGTCGCCTCCTACGACAAGCATGGGTTTCTGACCAGGGGGGTGGTGTAGCCCAGTGGTTAAAGCGTTCGCTCGTCACGCCGAAGATCGGGGTTCGATTCCCCTCATGGGTACAATTAATGACGTCTATTTTTGGTTTCCCCTGTCGTGATATTGCTGGAATATTGCTAAAAGCAGCGTAAAAGCATACACACTCACTCTGAAGACCAGTTCTCTTCGGGTCTTACAACGAATTCGGATTTCGTGATATATTGTCAGCTGCTCTTACTGACGAGAACGCAACAGTCGGTCCTTTTCTGACAGTTCAAATTTCGTGATATATTCTCATCTGTTCGTACTGGTTGAAGGCTCCATCACGACGTCCTTCAAGTTCTGTGTAATTGTTCTGTTGTGTTTGTTCCAGGTGAAGCTCATCTGTGCCAGAAGTGTTGTCGCTGGTTGCACGCGGGGTCAGATAGCCCTCACCTGGTACAAAATGCATACATTTATATGGATATCTAAAATGCTTGCCACAGTTTTAAGCATTTTAACAGGTATTATTTTGCATTTTAACTTCTACATATATTGCTTTTTCATGTAAAATGACATAAATGAATTGTAATAAATATATTTATGTATGTTTATATCTCTTTCAATCTTCTCACGTGCATCTCACCTTCTGGTACTGGCACTGCGATGCCTTGTTGAACCTCGGAGGCCTTGAAACAAATACATCATTGTATAAATTGATTGGTTGTGTACAATAGCAGAGTGAGTGAGTTAATATTTATAGTCACGTCGGAAGGGATGGTATAAATCCAGCTGGTGTCCATGCAGGTAGCAAGTCCCCATGGTCCCTAGTATGGTGTCCTACCTTCAGTGATCTCCAGTCCGTTTTCAATATTGTATTGTCCGTAAACGTTTAATTTTACAGTTACATGCTAGTCTTAGTTCTCTATCTGTGATAATCTAGTTACTTTTACTGTCTTTCATTGATAGTTTGTTATTTTATAAATCAGTTGCGTTCAATATGAACTCTTTTTAACGTCACGATATGGCTAAAATATTGCCGATGTGACTATCAATCGTAACTCTCTCAGTATATTTGACGTTAATTAAACCATACCTGAACCTGTAAAACGATTGCTCGTTTCCTGTAAATAACAGCAATTCCCAGACAAATGCCAAACATCAATATGGTGATTCCGGATCCGATTCCAATTCCACTCAACAGAACTTTTGCGTTCCTTGTCCCTGCAGAAAATCAGATACGTCATATATACTTTACAATGTTCACTTTAAGAGAGAGGGTGGGTGAAAATTTAAAGTCATATCGCCAGTATTTCAGCCATATCGTGACTATAAAAGGTGTAAATTTAAACATAAATGAAAACAAACTTATGCAATGCACTTACCTGTCTGAAGGCAGATTTGCACTAAAACTAGCATATTTAACCACAAAACGCTACTTCTATGTTCAACAATACAAAACAAAAACAACTACATATTGCCAACAACTTAAGGTAGATCACCATACTAGGTGAGGTGAGGTGAAATTGGCTTTAACGTCGAACGTCGTGCTTGAGAATATATCGCTCATATGACGACGTGCATGCGTGTGTATGTGTATGTGTGGCTGCTTCTACTAGCCCGGACTGAAGCTGGTTTTATAGTGCCTCCCCACTGAGATACTATGCAGCAGTGAAGCATGAATACCCCACTCAGACACATTATACTGACTCCGAGCCGACCAGTCCTTGTTGTACCCATTTATGCCGAACGCCAGGCAGGGACCAACAAGTACCATATTTAAACGTCTTTTGGTAATACGCGGTCTGGCATCGAACCCGCGACCTTCCGCTCTCCGGGCAGACGTTCTAACCACTACACCACGGAGGCGGTCTCACCATACTAGAGACCATGGGGACGTACAGTACATTTGTTTCCTATAGACGAATCTAGAGATAATGAATGATATAAATTGAGTGAAATTCAAATGGAATTGATATTAATTATCTGCATTATGTACATTTTGATTACGCTGATGACAACAGCGAACTCTGAATAGTACAGGCAAACGGACTTGACTGAATGAGAGGAAGGCATATAAAGCCCTAACTACCCCAAACCACAATCCTCTTGTATTGGTGGTGATGTCGCTCCTGAAAATACATTATTGTTAAAACTTGATATATGACCATTTAGAAGGCAGCCTATAGTAGGGCCTATAATCTGTGTATAGCTATATGGCGGCGGCCTGTACATAATCGAGTCTGGATCATACAGCCCAGTGATCAAGAGCATGCACATCGATCTTTGTAATTGGGATACGATGACATGTATCAACCACGACAGCGTGCCTGACCACCCAATCCCGTTCCTCGCCTCTGACGACAAGCATGGGTTACTAAAAAAACAATTCTAACCCGGATCTTATAGCCTATGTTGTTATATTATGTCGTAAATTTGATATATCATTCACCACATAGCTGAAATACTGCTGAGTGCGGCTTTTAACATCAAATCAATCAACCAACCAATCATTGCTCTCAAAAATATTTGTCAGATTAGTAAATACCATAGCTAGTTATGTGAGTTTGCCCCTCTCTGCTGGCCAGGATACAGGACATATTCCATCTGTGGTCACCGCAGGTGAAAGTCAGTCCCGTCCCAATGCCGGCGTCGGTCTTGTTGATGCGTACCGTTTTATCGGTTATGTTTGTGACTGTTTCATTAGGATATTCCAAAACGTTTTCCCCTGTGTATATTTTCAGTTGAGCCAACTCAGAGCAGTAATACCCCTTGATGTTTACTCCCAGTGATACCCCCTCAGCAGTGTCAGGGTCAGTGACGTGATGTGTCATGGCACAGACGGGCAGTTCTGAAATATAACTATCTCTAAAACAGTCTGTATAATGTTGATACAGTATTCGTAATGACTTGTTCTGCAGTGTCAGAAATACTTTAAAAAATCAAATAAAAAGTTACTGCGTGCAGGCAGATGGCAGTAAAAAGTGTGAGTGAGTTTCACGTTCACATCACATCGACTATATCGTGACAAAAAGTTGAATATTGAAAATGAACGTATTTCCGCTTTTCGAAATGTCATCGATGGACAGTATAACGGCTAGATTATTACAGATTAATTAGAAATAGTTTGAGATCAGTTTAAAATAATTGTTCAACAACACAATATTCAATCCGGCTATAAATCGCCAGCAACTGAACGCAGATCACTATGCCAAAGGACCGTCGAGCGAACAGTACTTTTGCTGTATACAAGCTTGATGTAAATCAACCTTTCATATGCTAGCGATTAGAGACAAATCAAGCCATAGATTAAAATAACACATAACCGACGATTAATGAAAATGTGTAGTTCCAAATCTGAGTTTAATGTTTCGGTACTCCTAAGGGGAACAACAGTTTTACAATAATATAACCCTCCTCGAGGATGGAACCGCTGACAATCTCAGTCCTGAACTGACTTTACCAATTTAAAAATACAACAATTTGTTGTACTTACTAGGAACTGTGAGGCAGCAATATAGTTTAGGCAAAGGTTTCATAGTAATAGTTCACCTATCCCTTTTGATTAATACTAATGTTTCGTTTTATGAACTTACTGACAACTATGAGGTTACAGTGTAGTTGAGGCAAAGGTTTTATAGTAATATTTCGCCCATACATGTTGATTAATACTATTGTTTCGTTTTATGAACTTACTGACAACTATGAGGTTACAGGGCGAGTTGTGACATCTCCACTCCCCTGCATGTGCTGGTTGTACTGCAGGTATGGTGAGGAGGTTGTGTGTCTGGTTGATGGTAGACGCCATGTAGTCACCAGAAGTTGTACAGGATGAACTCCATACATTACAGATGGCAGCAGCTTCACCCTGCGATGTTGTATATCCATATGACGTTTCATCACTGGGTACGATGCAGGTCAGGGTAGCAGGAGAACCAAGATACCCAACACGAGGACAGATTAATTCAGGCGCACCTGTTAAGAGGATAGGAGTGTGTTGTAAAGACGTGCGGGTGAACATAAGGAATTATTATCACAATGGATAACTGTATACACTGTCATAAGTCATCCATTGTCACTCAACATGCAACTTACCATTTGGTATATGGATCAGGGAGAACAAGAGCAGTGTCAAGGTGGTATAAAGACGTGCGGGTGAACATCAGGAATTATTATCACACTGGATAACTGTATACACTGTCATAAGTCGTCCATTGTCACTCAACATGCAACTTACCATTTGGTATATGGAGCAGGCAGAACAAGAGCAGTGTCAAGGTGGTATAAAGACGTGCGGGTGAACATAAGGAATTATTATCACACTGGATAACTGTATACACTGTCATAAGTCGTCCATTGTCACTCAACATGCAACTTACCATTTGGTATATGGAGCAGGAAGAACAAGAGCAGTGTCAAGGTGGTATAAAGACGTGCGGGTGAACATAAGGAATTATTATCACACTGGATAACTGTATACACTCTCATGAGTCGTCCATTGTCACTCAACATGCAACTTACCATTTGGTATATGGATCAGGAAGAACAAGAGCAGTGTCAAGGTGGTATAAAGACGTGCGGGTGAACATAAGGAATTATTATCACACTGGATAACTGTATACACTGTCATAAGTCGTCCATTGTCACTCAACATGCAACTTACCATTTGGTATATGGATCAGGAAGAACAAGAGCAGTGTCAAGGTGGTATAAAGACGTGCGGGTGAACATAAGGAATTATTATCACACTGGATAACTGTATACACTGTCATGAGTCGTCCATTGTCACTCAACATGCAACTTACCATTTGGTATATGGATCAGGAAGAACAAGAGCAGTGTCAAGCAGCGTATCGGAGAGTTTGGGGCCATCATCACCTTTCAAACAAAAAGCATATGCTTTAACTCACATTTTGCACTTCTATTCGTCAGGGTTGAAGTATTGTAAAATTATTGTCCTCCTGTGGGGGTAAACTTTCAAAGAAAATTTAGACTTTTAGATTGGAATTGCATTTACTAATCAACCTTTATGTAGGTTTCAGTGTCAGGTGTGTGAACTACAGGCGTCAAAAAGCATGCAAAAAGTTTTATTATGCACAAAGCGCACGTCAGTAAGTTAGTGAGTGAGTTTGGTTTTACGCCGCTTTTAGCAATATTCCAGCAATATCACTAAGCCGAACACCAAGAATGGGCTTCACACATTGTACCAATGTGGGGAATCGAACCAGGGTCTTCGGCGTGACGAGCGAACGCTTTAACCACTAGGCTACCCCATCACCCTAAAAGCACATGTGGCATCACATGCTTTGTTTCAAGTGTTTTTAGGATTATAATCATTTATTTTATGCAATTTTATGTTATGCACTGTTACTTTTTTCCATTAGTATATTAAACAATTATATCAATGTATTGTCAGACAGACAGAGTATTATAGTCCCATCATAGTACATCCTAATAATTCAAAATATAACAGATATTAACTGGACATTTATGTTTAATGAGACATCAGTTTTATTTGAACTATTATAACGTAAGTCATCATCAACAGGCAAAGTCAATAAACCGTGGACTTCTGGCACATTGAATATTACACACCGGACAATTATGGACAGGAATGACACAGCCAAGAGTGAAGGGGGTATCACGCAATTTAAATTAAACATGAGTGCGTCCAAAACTTCCGGGCAGTTAGAGATCAGGGTCCCGATCCACAAAACGTCTGTAGCGTTACGACATTCGTAAGCTCATGATAAACTATAGAATTACGACAGGTCGTAACGTAACGAACGCTTTGTGGATCGGGCCCCAGCTCTGTACTTGATAACTGAGGCACCATGTGATGAGTGAGTGAGTGAGTTAATATTTAACGTCACATCGGCAATATCTCAGCCATATCGTGACGAAAACAATTTATACAATATAAAGAGAAAACATCTTGAAGATTAAAACCTGTCGACGATGGACTGTAAAAATACTAGTGAATCACAGATATTAATATAAAACTAGCGAGCAAAGCTAAAACATTTCAATTAAAGAGGACAATACAGTATAAAATACGGGCTATAGATTGCCAACAACTGAAGGTAGATCACCATACTAGGAACCATGGGGACTTACATTACTTTTGCTACCGGCATGGACCCTAGCTGGATTTACACCATCAATTCAGTCACTGGCGATTGTAGGAAAATTTAGCCGGCAGTTAAAAGAACAAAGATACTACCTTTAAAATATTGTAAATTTGCATTTTACTTTGAAAGTTTTGGGACTTACGTACCCTCTTAGGAGGACAATAATTTTACAGTACTTTAACCCCTTTGAGGGTGCAGCCACTAACAATCTAAGTTACTAATCTAAATTCCCAATCTTTAAAATATATCTATTTACAAAACACATTAATCAGAATTCATCAAACAAATCAATTTCTTTTAAAATAACAATAATTAAATGATAATTAACATTTATCAAAAGATCCTTTATTGTTTTTACATTGAAATATGTATGCCTTATGATGGAGAATTCAACACAGTCAAGCAGGTCGTAACGTAATTAACGCTTTGTGGATCGGGCCCCAGGTCTGTACTTGATGACTGAGCCACCATGCATGCGAAGGCCGGAACATATATATTTAACATAACAAGGAAGTGAATATGGAATTCAAATATTCATTTCGATTTGGTTTTCAGCTTTGATTCAAATTCATTTTATTACTTTTCACACCGGAAATTACCGTTAGAGTCCAGCGTTATTAAAACGTCACGACAGGGAAGTCTTGTTGGTGAAACGTTAAAGCAGCCATATGAAAAATCTCCTCTTGAAAAAACAAACAGCAGTCACGTTCCCCTGAATCACAATTATGGCGTCCCCCTCCTCCGAATCGAACCTCTTCCAGAACCTAAAAATGATGACGGATCTCTTTACTACTGTTACTTTTCATTTAATTATTTCTTTTAAAGAAATTGATTTAATTCATATATATTGAACAATATGATTTTGTAGACAGATGTATTGTACTGATTGGTTGTTTAGATTGTTAGTGGCTGTATCCTCAAAGGGGGTTAAAGTATCGTAAAATTGAAGTCCCAAAACATTTAAAATAAATTTAAACTTACTACCGTTTTTAATCGTAGAATATGTGTTATTTTAACGTATGGCTAGACTTGTCTAAATTGCTGACAGCTGAAGGGATGGTATAAAGCCAGCTAGGGTACATGCAGGAAGCAAATTACTGTAAGTCCTCTTGGTCTCTAGTATGGTGACGTCCCCTCAGTTGTTGGCATTCTAGAGCCCATATTTATATTGTACCGTTAAAGTTAGAAATAGGGTTTTATCATGATTATATGTTAGTTTTAAGTGCACATATTTATCTATGATAGACTAGTTCTTTTACTGTCCTTCGTAGACAGGTATGCATATAAGTTTTGTTTTTGCATTATTTCATGTATACATTTACAAATTTACAACTTTCATAGTCACGATATGGCTGAAATACTGCCCATATGACTTTAAATTTTAACTCACTCACTCACTCTTCCAGAACCCCTGGCCTGATGGAATGTTTCCCCCGTCCTTTGCTCTGTTGTTACCATCCATTTTGAAAGGAATCGCTTATATGTTGTCGGTGCTGTCTAGTATTGTAGGTTCTTCATTGGAAGTAGGATGTTTCTGACGTTCATCGTGGCAGCGTAAACCTGAGATCAGCTTGATCCCAAACTCCCTTCATTCTCTCCTGTCTTCCTACTGACGTTCCACTGACGAGGTCATACAGTCTTTGTTTGAATGACGATTACATTTCTCACATTTCTGACAGAGCAAAAGAGTCTGTTCATCTCATTTCTTGACATCATGCTCTTTACGGTTTGTTAGATAATTTGGTATGTAGTACACATTGGGGGTATCTGGAGGAACTTGGTCGTAGTTTGTAATCCAACTCTCGTTGTAAGGCTTGGTGTATTTCTGCCATGACTGTTGAGATACTGTCCAAAGCGCCCTTGTCCATATTTGCATTCGTTATTGCTTTTGTGAATACCAAATTGCGTCTATTTAAATCCTGGTGTACGTTTCAGAAGTACATTGCAGATGGGTGTGAACTGAATGTCAGTAATGTTTTTTGTATCAATGGGAACCTGGAGCTCGTACTGAGTTTTCAGTGTTGTGTTTTGACAGACAATGACTCATCCCGATAGGGTGGCGACGATCTAGGACTTGAGCGTAAACGTGAGAGGATACAAGAACACTTACGCCACTCTTCTTCGGATATAACGTTGAATTCTGGATTATTTCTGTTGAATTTATGAACATATACTTACTCACTCACTGATTCTCTGGTGCGGTAGAGAAGTCTGGTGGTTAAGTCTTTCGCTCGTCACGTCGAAGAGACGGGTTCGTTTCCTCACATGGGTACAATGTGTTATGCCCATTTCTGGTGTCCCCCTCCGTGAAATCCAACTCACTCTCTCCCTCATATAGATTATCTGAGTCACAGCTGTGCCATTTGGGGCATGCAACAATGACAATACGTCCGCTACTCAGACATGTAAGAATAAAGAGACGTTCCGACGCCAACAAAATGGGTGTATGAAAGGAAAACATGTTAAAGTCAAAGCGCTTGAAATTATAAAGATCCTGTGTCATGGTTACCTATAGATCTGATTATAAATAACATATTCAACCAAAACGATCACCGTGGAAACCTACCTGAGACGTTATTCGTTATCCTCCTTCAGAAACGTATTACTCAATAATCCGTCATATCTGTCCGAAGCCAACATCATCATATCTGAAAATCTAGGCCAGCTTAGGAACATGAACTATTCATTCTTTTTAGATTACAGTACGAATGTGAAACCACACTGTCAGAGAAAGTTCGGTTTTAGTTTCCCCGTGCTATTTAAATATTTCCATCCTTGTTCAGGTCGAGTCAAATGTAAATGGGGGCGGAGGGGTAGGTTAATTGTTAAGGCGTGTGTTCGTCGCGCCGAAGACCCGGGTTCGATTCCCCACATGCGTACACCGTGTGAAGCCCATTTCTGGTGTGCCGGACGTGATATTGTTGGAATATTGCGATACTCAGTCAAATGTTAATCAGTGGCTATGGTTGTTTGCGGCAATAGTGTATGCGGGATTATGGTTTCACTGCCCTTTTAGCAATATTCCACCAGCAGTTTCAGGACAGGGGACGCCGCCATTGGTCGTTTGAGGTAAGTGAAACACAAGGAAGAACAGAGTTCTTTCCCTTGACTGGTGTAAAGTTTTAGTTTAGAAATACACAATTACTGTCAATAGTTACCTTCAGTTTGTCACTTCTGCACTGTTGATTCGTATGTTGATATCAGAATTATTTCGATGTGAGTGCTATGTTTTACTTTTTAGCAAGTTGAAATGTAATGCAAAGGCTAACAGCTACATTTTAACATATAATGCATAGGAATCATTGGATGTATAATCCACAACTATGCTACATGTACAATTATATATATTCAATTTATCATATATATTAAATGTATCATTTCATGTATGTACTCATGCTTGTCGTAAGAGGCGACTAACGGGATCGGGTGTCAGGCTCGCTGACTTGGTTGAAACATGTCATCGGTTCCCAATTGCGCAGATCGATGCTCATGCTGTTGATCACTGGACTGTCTGGTCCAGATTATTCACAGGCCGCCGCCATATAGCTTTTTTATTGCTGAATAAGAAACGAAATCGATAGAATTTTCAAACAATATATTTCAAATATTGTTCCAGACAAAGTGTTATAATTAGTTTATCGTGTTGGAGATGGACGCTCTAATATTGATTCTTACAAATATATTTCCCAGGCTGAGAAATGTTCTTCTCAAACGTGTTGATCAGATACTACTGTTGTTGTAAGTTACTTATTCGAACGGTTACTGGTGTGAGATTACTATTAGCTACATGTGACAATTGGTATCATATTTTTTCCGATGCTCTTGGTTACTACTTACAGGAACAGAATCATGATGGATTTTCGCCATTGCTCGGTTTTACAATGCATGGAAACCTTGCATCAAAATGTGGATTAGTTATATCTTTTTTCACTAAATCAAAAATTTATGTTTATGTTTATACACTGATTTATTGAATTTTAGCATTCACTCACTCATTCGACCAGTATAGCCCATGGTAGCATACGTGTTCACATGTATTCTGTGTGTACGAAAGTATTACATTTTCGACATTTTTCAAAACAAATGGGTGCATGAAGTCGAATACAAAATAAAATTGTCAACAGGAATGTGCGATAGGGCAAATTACCCAAACTTTTGGTACGTCCTCATTACAATGATTTTTCAGTGGGTGTGACAGATGATACGTAAGGCAGGCAGGACAAGAGTTCCTCGTGTACTGGACAGTTGTGACTAGTGACGTTTGAATATTAATTCCGCAGATTAATGCGTTTCATGCGGTTACTTCAATTTGCATTTGCATACATTGTGCCTGTCTTTCTAAAACAAGCCTGTACAACTGCCCATGAAATACACAATGCCATTTAGAAAGTGGTCAAATGTAACTTTATGTGCTGGCGATTAGGTGCCTGACTCTGAGGGTGTGAGTTCGAATCCCGGATGGGGCTCAACTCAAAACAGTACTAGAATTTGTACTTTACTAAGAAAGTGTAATCCCAAATATAACATTTGTTATATTCATGCCAATATGACTGAACCGACGTTCTACTATCCTGGACTAACAACAAAATAATGTTTTAAAACCGAACAATTCTTTCCTTTATTGGATCAATTAGTCGTTCACTTTTTGGCACTCCTACAGTCAAAGATGTAGCAAGACTAGCAAAGTAAGTCGCACAATTGTTGTTGTATGTAACTAATTCTTCTCGTGCTCTTCAAGTACAACTTCAGATATCATCATGCATATCTAAACCAAATGTGCATTTCATCCGCTTTTAATATATTTGAAACGAATCATAGAGACATTAAACATCTATAATATATTATGCTGTTCAGTAGTAATTCATTTCTTGTAAAATTTGTTAGATTACATTACATTCCTAATAACTATTCGACAACAAATTGATGAAATGTATTGCAGAATTCAACAGTTAGTTAATCACTATTTGAGTCAATCTTTGCTCCCAGTTAAGAAAGTGAAGAAAGCTTTGAATATGTTTTAAAACATATGTCAATGTTGAATATCCTTTGTTTCACATTGTTCATAAGGATCCAAGTTACAACGTATTGTTCACTCTCCTCACACTCAGAAGTTCATTAATATTTGCTCACTAATCTTCCCTAACCCACTCTACTCTCCTCGATGTATACCGAATTAATGAATGCGGTTCACCAATAAATCAATCAAGTACGCACGTTACTCAAGTTATGAGTTTACCATGTTATTTGACTGTTTCAGAAGCGACAAAATCAGTATTTTGAAATTTCTACTATAGATTTTTTAATTTCTTATGGTAAATACGTAAAACAGTGCCAGATTTTACATCTCCTGAAACCAAAACGGTTCTCACCTGCGCACTTGCTTTATTTAATCTAGAATTTAATCTTTGCATAATGTTAAATTCCGACCAAATGGGCTTCGTTCGATGACACTCGAAATCGAACTATGTCTTAATCATCTTCTATATTGTATTAACTTGCAATGGTCGCATATGGAAAGAAGCCCAGCTTTGCAGATTTGTACATTTAAATTCCCTTGTCACTGTGCGTTGAAACTTTATGAATTCCGACAGACATCAGCATTCATGATTGTCAGAAAAAGACAACAACTTCAAAATAATACCCACCTAATCCTCTGCTCTTATCGAAATTTGAGCAACTTCTCTCAGAAAATTATGCTTTTAAAATTCCACATTTATTACTTGAAAACAAATTGATCATTCGAAAAAGGACAAGACATTTTAAGTTGAGTTACGATTTCCCACGGTATGATACTTAATTACTGGTAGTTGGAAACATTCCACAAAACTCTGTCGTGAGATTATGGTCTCACTGTTCTATCTTTGTCCCCGAGAACTGTTGTTATCAGCACGAAATCCTCTCACCAATGTTCATATTCAACGGGAATTCCTTTATAACTACTTACATTTTGATTTTTGCAAACTCCCACCTATCACAGTCTTCATATTTCTATGAATATTTATATCCGTTGGTTGAAAGTTTTACTTCCACCTACACAAAGTAATTTTAGTCCTCCATGGAGCATTTTCCCGTTACCTCTGACATAATCATATTGCAGGCAGCTGCCCATCCATCATATTAAGCTACTTTAACCTGCCAGTCTTTGTCATCTGGAATGTGTCGACAAAGGCGACATTTTATTTGTTACTGTTCACATTTCTATGCGTCATTTCTCAAACTGTCATAAAGTTGAACAGGCAATTAAATACCAGTAATTTATTTCTTTATTCCATCTAAAATCATAACTAATCATATCAGAACTAAAATCATATCTACAGTCCCGTGGATACCCAGTTCTTCTTGTGGAAGATGGAATAAAGAAAGCAATAAACACAGACAGAAGGACACTGTTGAAAGTTCGTGATAAACAAAAAAGTAACACTGTCAATCTGGCCTATGTTTCAACACACAATCCCAAGAATCCGGAACCTTATCATATCATAAGACAAAATGTTCCAATTTTAAATGCTGATATGAATATATGAATCGAATTATGGCTAATGTAACATTGATAAAGAGTAAACGCCAAAGCCGTAACTTAAAATACATATTGACACGTGCCACATTCGACTCATGTATTAAACCTACAGAATTCAGTGTCTCAAAATGTAAACGGGGAAATTGTGGAACTTGTGAATATATACTTGAAACTTCATGTATAAGTTCAAAAATAGGAAACAATTATTTCATGTACGCTCTAACATGGACTGCTCCGCAAAACATATTATTTAGGTTATTATATGCCAAGGGTGCCATGAAGAATACATTGGACAAACGTAGTGCTTGAGGGACAGAATGTGCGTCCATAAACAACAGATTAAGGACCCCAAACAAGGTGCATCCCCTTAAGCGCAAAACTTAAATTCTCGCTATTGCGGACCTTGTATATCTGGAGAAAAACGCAAATCTGTCTGCCGAGGTCGTCTGCACGTACATTTTGTATTTAATCACCCCACATATCCAGCTACAAATATATTGGCATGATGTTAGTCCTTAATAACCCAGTTTGTTTCATTACAACATTGAAATACCAGGAGAAAAATTCAAGCGACGCTTTGATGTATGGAATGCAATATCTTCAACAATTTATGAATGAATGTTAATCAGTAAATCAGAAGGGTTTATCTATACACAATCACCAAGCAAGCTGTATCTCTGTCCTCAAGTTTATCGAGGTCAATAAGTCAATAAAGAGAGAATTGCTTTCCATTATATGGAAAAGTAAATCAGGAAAGATATCAAGAAATCGTTTATCACAAAGCTAGGAAAATAGGGGTATTAAAGCAAAAGATGTTCATATCTTTATAATGTACTAAACTGTATTATGGCTTACAAAATACTTTTAAAAGGCTGCTTTTTGACATACCAACATTGGAGCTCTTTTTGTCTTGGTTGGCTCATAATTCTTACATTTCAAGATTAAAGTTAACAAATTCCATTATTCCATAAGAATATATTAAATCTATGGGAAATGTACTTTTACAATGAGGTAGATGTATTTTTGTTACCTGAAAACGTGACTACAGACTTTTTGTTTGTTTGTTTTCTTTGTTTTGTTGTTGTCGTTGTTGTTGTTGTTGCCTCCCGTTACTTGCCTCTTACCACATTCATGGGTAGGATGTTCAAGGGTCTCTATGCCGACAAAGTACCTACATACCCATGTACGTACGTGTATGTGTGTGTGTGTGTGTATATATGTGTATGTGTGTTTGTCTGCTTGTGTATGTGTCTCTCTCTCTGTCCGTGTGTATGTATACTCATCACACATATGATGTTATTCAAATAATATGGTGTATCAGTTACAATCACAGCAATGCATTCTGCATGTATAATTGTTATATTATTTACAGACCACCGCCATATAGCTGGAATGCTGCATAGTTGCTGAGTGCCGCATAAAACTAAACTCACTCACTCAACTGAACACAAACAAACGTACCTGTACAAGCAATTTCCCAACTTGTATTGCCACGGACATAGATCAACATCTTATCTTCAAACGACGTTTGTACATTGTCTGTGGTCTCCCAAATGTCAACTGTAGTGTTGGTACGTGTAGTGTTCAATAACCTTCTTGTCAAGTTTCCAGTCTTTAAATGAAGTTCAATGGAATCAGAGCAGTAGTAGTGTTGTACTCGTACCGTTGTTTCGTGCGCAGACTGGCTGCTTAGTACAGCACATGATGGAAGTTCTGAAATGAAACAGACAACAGCATTCAATGACATCTCTTTCAAAGGAAAATACACGCCTAAACATGTGACTACAATCTCTATGCCGACGATGGTTGTTTCTGTTTTTTGGGGGGGTTTATCCAGCCATATGGCGGCGGTCTGTAAATAATCGAGTCTCTACCAGACAATCTAGTGATCAAAATCCTACGCATAGATCTATGCAATTACGATTCGATCAGGATGACATGTGTCAACCAAGTCAGCGTCTTGACCACCCGATCCCGTTAGTCGCCTCTTACGGTTAGTTGTTAGTTGCACTCACTCACTTCATACTGTATACGTCTTCCTGTGGAGGTACGTAAGTCCCAAAACATTCAAGGTAAATTTATACTGACCAGATTTTCTAAACGTAGCATATTTGTAATTGTATATTACGGCTAGATTTGACTACATTCGCCAGTGGCTGAAGGGATGGTGTAAATCTAGTTAGGGTCCATGTAGGTAGCAAACACACTGTAAGTCCCATGGTCCCTAGTATGGAGATCAACCTTCTGTTCCTGGTGATCTATAGCCCATTTTTACATTGTATTGTCCAAAAATAGTTTTCTACTTTTAATGATATATGTAAGCTGGTTTTAACTCATTTTGTGATAATCTAGTAATTTTACTGCCCTTCGTTGACAGGGTTTTATATATTATATGTATGTATTATGAATTTAGAACTAGTATTAGTCACGATATGGCTGAAATATTGCCGATGTGACTTTAAATTTTAATTCACTCACTCACTTCGTACATGTATAATTGTTTTATTATAGAATTGCCAGCTAGGTCGAACAATATCGCATGAACGACGTGATGTATATTTCATTTCAGAGTGATCTAAGTCATAGTGACACACGCACCTGCAACTATCAAGAGACAATGTGACACATTATCCCCAATGGAGCATGTCCAGTATCCTGCGTGTGACGGGTTAACCATCGGTACTGTGAGAACACTGTAGGAGGAGTTAGGTATGGTCACCATGGCCTCAGGAGCACATTCGGATGTGTTCATGTCACATATTGTGACTACACCGCTCGTTGGCTGAATATAAGAATGTGTCCTCCCTGTGCCAATGCAGGTCAGGTTTGCCAGCGAGTCCAAGCAGCCTATCTGTGGACACACAATCTCCACAGCACCTGGAACATATTGAACACAAAAGTGCCGTCGTGAATTTAGAAACGACGGCGCAGGACTTTCTCATAGTAACTTATACTCTTCACAAGGCCTCAGTACTAACTGCATGTAAAATTAGTAAACAGAATGAGTGAGTGAGTATCAAAATTGCGGAGAATATCGTCTTATAACTGTTAAAGCACTTAACGCAAATGGATATATGCATAAATAAATAAATGAGTGTGTGTGTGTGAGTGAGTGAGTGAAAAATAAACAGACATTTGTTAAAATGACAAAAATAAATATATAATTTTAAAAAGAATTAGAAATTAGAAACCTGTTGACGATGAACAGTAAAATAATTGGAGTTTCACAGAGAAGGTAAAACTAGCATGTAATCATAAAACGATATCATTATAGAGAACTATGGATCACCAGCAACTGAAGGTAGATTAACATACCAGGGACCATGGGGACCATTACTACCTTCATGCACCTTAGCTGGATTTACATCCTACTTTCAGGTGTTGGTGATTGTTTAGCAAATAGCCATACATTAAAAAGAACAAATATGCTACTATTAAATTCAGAGAAAGAAAAAACCTTTGAATGAAAAGGGACTGGCAGCCACTAAGAATCATACTTTTTTATTCCTTCCATCAAATAAAAACAGTGACTAATTACAATACATTTCAAAATGTATCAATTAATTCAATTTCTTTTAAAAACTCAATAATTAAAATAGGATGCACATTAAAAAAGATCCTTTAGGTATGAACAAAAAATGCATTCTTCTCTAGCGTATGTAATGCAATCCTTTAAACATATTATTTTTCTATCTACCTTGGAAGAACGGAGTCAAAATCAAAAGCAGGAGAGCGCATAAACCGAGATTGTGCCTTCTACCAGGAAAGACCATCTGTAGAAAGAAAGTGTTCAAATGAAAAGAATCAGCCACGTGAAGTCCATGAAAATCATCAAAGAAACGTAAATGCTGAGGGATTGCTTATCGCAACATTCAGCTTTTCCTGTTTCAGATTGCCCGCTCCATGATGGAGACCACTAAATTCTGTAATTGATATTGTTATTATCATTGATTAAAATACTAGCATCCCAGCCTGTACCTGTTTCCATTATGCTGACCCTGACGGAGCATTATTTTAAGGAAAGATGATTGTTTATTGACTCTAATAGATTAAAGTAGACCTTGCTTTCCTTTTACATCGGAAAGGGTACCAGATGCAGACCCTAACCCTAAACTGTAACCCTAATGATCGGAAAGGGTACCAGTCCCTAAACCTAAACCATAACCCTGAGGATCGAAAGGGGTACCAGTCCCTAAACCTAAACCATAACCCTGAGGATCGAAAGGGGTATCAGTCCCTAACCCTAAAACCGTAACCCTGAGGATCGAAAGGGGTATCAGACCCTAACCCTAGAACCAAACCGTAACCATATGGATCGGAAAGGGTATCAGACCCTTACCCTATGATCCAACTTTAATCCTAAGGATCGGAAAAGATAGCATACGCTAACTCGAACCCTAAGGTCGTAAAGGGTTGTTTGCCTCTAAAGAAGTGCTTTCATTTTTTTTATACATATCACTGATCCGAATACAATGATACGTGATTTCATGAAATCGCTATGGTCGATGATATTTTTGGCAGTGTATCCAAAACATTCAACTGATAAAACAAATCAATTTGATAAAAGATAACAAAAGCAAATACAGGTAGGATTCGAAATGCTACCAGGTAGACATCAAAATCCTACCTCAGTCAGCTGTTGTCAACATGTTGTCATAGACTAAAACCTGTCAATAAGTTTCTGTAAAACTTAACATATCCAAACGACATATTTGTTTCCAAAGTACACCTTTGTCTATTTAATATATTCAGCAAACGTTCGATGTATACCTCTTTATGACGAAGCCCCCCTCCAGACAGGACCCCTTAATTCTCAATGCTATCAGTAAATGTCACTTAACACCTTTCTACATCGGCGGATCTGAAGTATGTACATGTGTTCAGGTCAGTGTATAAAACCTGACTGATATGGTCAGTCAGGGAGACCATGGCCAGTCAGAGAGACGAGTTGGAAGACACGGGCCTAAATCATCGACAGAAGCGGACGGATTGTACGGCTAGTCGGGGCGTCAGCCAAGGCCGTCGCCTCACCAACGACTACGTCGACGATGAAGAATCGCCGTCCAACTACTGCCTGTGCGTGTAAGTGACAGAGCGGGTCTCCGCATCAGGAACATTGGCCACTCGGTCTGGATGTGCGTTCTGTCACGTGTTTACTTTCAACTTGTACCATTATTATCCAACCACAATAAAAATGTCTGTCTGCTTGTCTATTGTCCACCATCCTGACCTACTATCCGAAAGCACACCAACAAACACTCTTAGACAATGTTATATCCGTTAAGATTCGGGTCATAATTGATCTTCAGTAACCCATGATTGTCGTAAGAGACGACTAATGGGATCGGGTGGTCAGGCTATCTGGCTTGGTTGACACGTGTCATCATATCCAACTTTCATAGAGCGATGCTCATGCTGTTGCTCACTGGATTGTCTGGTCCAGACTCGATTATTTACAGACCCCTGCCATATGTTGCTGAGTGCGGCGTAAAACTAAACTTACTCACTCCTTCACATACACCACCATGTCTGTAGAAGTAAATATATCGCTTACTTTTGTTCTTTCATGCTCTTCCCAGCACACTCCGCTCCTTGCTGTAGGATACCTACACTCAACTGCGCTGAATGTCACTCAAGCAATACCCCTCACAGTTTACTTTGAACACTAAATATGTGATTTGATTTCCTTAAAGCAAATGATATTTCGGGCAAATGTGCTATCAACACGCCCCGGAAACACACACGCGCGTAGAGCCAAATAATAGAACGTATTCATTCACTCGCAGTTTACAACAAACACACATTATCGCATCCTTTACGCTTGGTTAAACAGGGGAAGTGAACGAGGTGTTTGTTTTGTCCTTGTTTGCAACATTATATTTGCACCAAGTCAGGTAATCTGATCTTGCTTTCTTCATTTCATATGTATTATATGTTTGACTTATTTGCCCTTTACTTATTCATTCGTCAGATCAGATGATTTACTAAACATGTTTATTGGTCTGTAATATTTGATTATTTCGATAATTAAACGTCCGTATCGTTAACCGCATGAAATTGATCAGGAATAATGCATGTAAATTTTTAATTTCTTTTTGTGTTACTTTCTGTCTAAGGGCAGGCAGAACCAACTTAAACACAATCCCTTAACTGCTGATGTGCTGTGATAAATTACTTTCATCAAAATTCTACTCGAAACAGAACCTGCTTTTAATTCGAGGGTCTTTCCTCACAGTTGTGATATTCCTGAATATTTGCTGAATATTTGTTTAACCAGTGTGAGGAAAAAGCACTAGTGGATCTACCTTCAGTTGTTGGCGATCAATAGCCCATTTGTACACTGTATTGTCAAAAAATAAGTTTTCACTTTTTAACATATATGCTAGCTACTTTTAACTCATTTTGTGATAATCTGGTAATTTTACTGTCCTTCGTTGACAGGGTTTTATATATTATATGCATTTTATGAATTTAGAACTAGTTTTAGTCACGATATGGCTGAAATATTGCCGATGTTACTTTAACTCTCAACTCACTCACTCACGTGTGAGGAAAACGTTGCCCATTGTGCAAACAGAGCCATTATGTGTATGTCGTTGCTACACAACTTCCACACACCACGTCCCGATGACAGGGATATTTAACGAACGGAAGTTTCGTATATAGAGGATACTAAACGACCTTCCGTGTAATACCATATTTATTAAACGAGGTAATGATTTGGTTTCAAAAGAGCGAAAGCGAGTTTAATAAATATGGATTTACACGGGAGGGAGTATAGTACTCTGTGTATTACTCGCCCACATTAATCAAGTGAAATTCCCGAAAAACGACTTAACCGTGTGGTAACATTTGCAGCGAGTCAAGCTAGGTCACGCGTATTAATAGATAGCTTCGGTGAAATTATGGGATTTCCATATGTATATAGTTCAAAAATAAAAAAGAACGTAAATTTGAATCTATGTCATTTATTGTTAGAACCTGATTTTGAGATGCCAAATTAGCCTCTGAAGTCTGACGGCTTTCCTCCGCGCCTAGTGTCATGTGGGAATTTTCAGCATAATCGCTTGACCTGCTCAACATTTAGCTGATAGCTTTGTGTTGATCATATGGGATGTGCGTTTGGTTATTTATTGTTTACATGTTTTTATGACCACTGATCTGCATAATGTGCACTGGAGGCACATTTTTGTCAGAGAGTGACTGAACAAGATTCTTTCTTGCAGCGGACACTCTAATGCGTATATGGAAAACACTGGAGATGTACCTCAAGTTAAAGTGAACGCGAGCTCACTGTAATCGATCATAGAGGCCGAAAATCGTAAAATAAGTATCGATTGAATATGGATGAATGCCGAAAATATCCGAAAGAAATTAACGTATTTCACATCACTTTTGAGTGATGACATGTTTTTGCATGGATTATTAACCAAAGAGCATCCTGAAGATAATTTAGAAGAAGAGGATCATTTAAGTCCTACGTTTGTATATTGCGTGAACAAATGTAAACTTTTAGCTATCGAAAATGTTAGTGTACGATATTATTGAAAACACAATTTTAATATCGATAATCATTCATAATTTTTCCAATCCACATGTCAATATGGATCATAATGATTTTAGCCAGCCCTATCACATTATATTATATGTTGTTTTACATACCAGTGTTTGTCAAGACTGAAAGTAAACTACAAACAATATATGCATTAATGTATTTTCTATTTTAGAAATTAATGTGAGCGAGTTACCGTACGACAGTACATATCGTTCTTTCTCGTTTATCATGAAAGTGATGAATATGTTCCCACGTGATCAGGAAAATAGTCGGATCAGTTCTGTAACTATGGTTACAGTTTCCGTTTGAACATATTTTGTGACACACAATAAAGTGGGGACGGACAAGGACACAGTAGGCCCAGCTACATGACATAATGACGTATGGCAGGGTTGGTATATTTCATGAAATCTGAACTGTAGCGAGGCAACAAGTTGCTGTATTGATAACAGCTAACTCAAACTGGATGAAATCAGAGATACACAGGTAGTGTTCCCGAAGCGTATTTGAACAAAAGGACAAAGAGAGATAGTTTGCTTTTCACATACTCTTCACAGACTAAAAAACATACGTTAAAAATACATGAATAATGATACACAGTGTACAAAACAAGGCCACGAAAAAGAAAACTACACATTATACATACGATTTTGAATATGATGCTATTGATGTAGATACAATTTCATAAGCACGTTTACATTTACAAATTTATAAAGATGATTTAATCTATTTTGTGGCATATATTTTACAATTACGTCACAGTGTTGTGATACATACTTCAGAATAACATCATATTAATGTGACATATACTTTAATATGTGCTCTCTGTAATGAACTACTAGAAATGTAACGCACACATCACATTGACATCAGAATGTTACAGGAAATATTTTACTCTGACGCATAGCACGTAATAGGCACATGACATTTTCGTAACACTGACTTTAGAGTGATATGTTGAATTCTTAACACTGGAGGAAGAGCGTTGTGATATATGCTATATCATATTTTACTCTGACGTAATAGGCACATGACATTTTCGTAACACTGACTTTATAGTTATATGTTAAATTCATAACACTGTAGGAAGAGCGTTGTGATATATGCTATATCATATTTTACTCTGACGTAATAGGCACGTAACATGCTCTTAACACTGACTTTATAGTGATATGTTGTATACAATACACTGGAGGAAGAGCATTGTGATATATGCTTTATACCTGACATAGTATTGATATTTCTTATAATATCACTATACTTGAAAACGACGCAACAGCTTTTGGTTGGTTGTTATTTAATGCCACACTCATCAGTATTCCAGCAATATGGCGGCGGTCTGTAAATGTTCCATTCTGGACGAGACAATCCTATGATCAACAACATGAACGCATATGGCAGTTGGGAGACGATGACATAAAGTCAGTGCGACCACCCGATCCTGTTAGTCGCCTCTTACGACAAGTATGGGTTACTGAAGACTAATTCTAACCCATATCTAATGACGCACCAGAGATATGGTATATGCTATGAGAGAGAGAGAGAGAGAGAGAGAGAGAGAGAGAGAGAGAGAGAGAGAGAGAGAGAGAGAGAGAGAGAGGGAGAGATGTACATACACAAGTTAATACATCTGCAGAGTATATGAACTAAACACTTTATCCCTAAAAAAATAAAGAACAACTCTCAAAGGGTTACTAGACAGAAAATAGTTGCTGAAGAACTGCAAACTCAAGATTCTATTATCAACCCTATTCTATACAATGCACCAGCTGGAGCACACCGCGTGGTATGTAGTGGAAAATCACCAACATTTATAACAGAGAAAGAGTAAGACTGAGAGCCGGTGGACGTGCAGCCACTGTCAGACTTTTCGAACACTACAAAGAAACATGCACTACACATAATAATAATAATAATAATAATAATAATAATGAAAGTTCTTGGTGGGTTCGACTAGGCAGCGTTTCCTGGGAGAAGTCCCATTCGCTGTCTGGGCTGCGTGTAGAGGGGGCAAGGGCCCTGAGCTGATGATGAGCCCTACCAGCCTGACTGTGCCAGGATCACCCGAATCCTCTCTGCTGCATACAATTTTTAATCTGTAAAACATACTAATATTACTATGAAATGTCGACTTTGCAATGAATTTACAGAGACTGTCCAACATCTTGTCAGTGGATGCCCTTCCTTGGCACAAACAGCATATCTTAAACGACATGATGGCATGGCTCGTTGCTTTTACGTCCGTCTCCGACATGCCTGTGGCTTTGACTCCGAGGTCCATCCATGGTACGACCCTGAACATGTTCAGGGCGTCATGAAAATGATGCTTTCAAACTTCTGTGGAATAGGCCCATATACAGCCTCAGAAGAATTCCAGCTAACAAACCTGATCTTGTCCTTTTTGATAAAGCCAATGAATGTATTTATATCATTGAATTTTCTGTCCCTTTTGACACCAATGTGATTGGCAAGATTAAGGAAAAGCATGATGAATATGCGGACCTCGCCTTTGAAATGTCTCGCTTGCATCCCAAGTACACTGTCGTCAGGCTCCCCATTGTTCTCGGTGCCCTTGGTTTGGTACCTCCTGATCTCTTGGCGCAGATCAGGAGAGTGCCCGGGCTCTCCACAGGGAGTACAGCCCTTCTGACACTCTGGGTAATGCAGAAGGCTGCGTTGTTGGGGAGCCTTCATATTCTCCGGAAAGTTCTTGGTTGGTTCGACTAGGCAGCGTTTCCTGGGAGAAGTCCCATTCGCTGTCTGGGCTGCGTGTAGATGGGGCGAGGGCCCTGAGCTGATGTTGAGCCTCACCAGCCTGACTGTGCCAGGATCACCCGAACCCTCTCTGCTGCATACAATCTTTAATCTGTAAAACATACTGACTGACTGAGTTTAGATTTACGCCGCTTTTAGCAATATTCCAGCAATATCACGGCGGGGGACACCAGAATTAAAACATAATAAAAGCGCTGTATCCATCCACAAGGTGTATGCTCAAAGCGCATGACAGGGCAATATCAGGCAGCTTACACGTAAAGGTGCTACAGGATGTAATACTGTGCCGCAAACCGAACGTTGTGTTTCCTTGAGGGTCGAGCTACAAGGGAATCTATATGAATCTCGCATCACGAAAGCTAAGGAGTTGTTTGTTTTCTGCGAGAGCAACATTGTCGGAATGAGTAAGTGAGTGAGATGACTTCCAGCAAAGCGAAGTGTTTACATTTGTCCCAGTTATAACATTGACCAATACCTTCAAGGTACATGATTCATGTGCATTCACACAAAGTGCTTAATTGGATATGACATTATAGTAGGATGTCTCTCTCAAGAGCGGTAAGGTACAAAGCGTTGTATTCATGTCCTGATGTGTCATTAGTTTCTCTAGTGACGTCATCAGGGGAGTCAAACACATGATTATCTGGCTGTTCCTCCCGCTTTAATTTCTTCATCTTCACCAGAAAGACTACTAACGTGATGATGACTGTCACAATCACGATTCCGGCAACCACTCCGACGATGGCAACCATGCTTGTTTTATTACTTGTAGCTTTGTCCTCCAGCACTGGAAAAAACATGTAAATTTTGTAGAGAACGACGGTAAGATAGCCTTATGGAGGATAGAAATATGTTTAAAAAAATATACAAATACGAAATACGGTGACAGCTTCATATAATGTCGTGACAGGTTGATGTTCACGGGAATTGCCCAGTACAATTACGCGAATGATTAAGCATGCACCCAGAGACTCTGTTGACTGATGTCATGTACTTGGTTTGCTCTCCGTATGCGCTGGAAAAAGTGCATTAGTGTGATCTCTTTTTAAGGATAGCAATACCTTGGCAGGAAATACGAAATGGAAGTGACTTAGACAAGGGACTCACAACATGTACCCATGGATTCTCTTGACCAAGACAATCCCGTTTGCTTGACAATGTGTGAGTTTAAACTGGATGAAAGCCACTAAAATTAATATCTCAAAAACATGAGTTCCTTCACTGGCACCCTGCCGCTCCTTGCCTGTACAGCCCGCTACTCCTTGCCTGTACACCCCGCTCCTCCTTGCCTGTACACCCCGCTCCTCCTTGCCTGTACACCCCGCTCCTCCTTGCCTGTACACCCCGCTCCTCCTTGCCTGTACACCCCGCTCCTCCTTGCCTGTACACCCCGCTCCTCCTTGCCTGTACATCCCGCTACTCCTTCCCTGTACAACCCTCTACTCGTTCAATGTACACCCCGCTACCACTTGCTTGTACAACTTGCTACTCCTTGCTTCTACACACCACTATTCCTTGCCTGTACATCCCTCTACTCCTTGCCTGTACATCCAGCTGCGCCTTGCTTGTACACCCCGCTACTCCTTGCCTGTACATCCCGCTACTCCTTCCCTGTACATTCCTCTCCTCATTGCCTGTACACCCCGCTACCCCTTGCTTGCAGACCCCGCTACCCCTTGCTTTACACACCACTACTCCTTGCCTGTACATCCCCGCTACTCCTTGAATTTACACCCCCTTACTCCTTGCCTACACATCCCGCTACTCTTGCATGTACATCCCCTTACTCCTTGCCTGTACATCCAGCTACTCCTTGCCTGTACATCCAGCTACTCCTTGCCTGTACACCCAGCTACTCCTTGCCTGTACACCCCGCTACTCCTTGCCTGTACACACCGCTACTCCTTGCCTGTACACACCGCTACTCTTTGGATGCTCTCCCCGCTACTCCTCGCCTGTACACCCCGCTACTCCTTGCCTGTACACCCCACTACTCCTTGACTGTACACCACACTACTCCTTGTCTGTACACCCAACCACTCCTTGCCTGTACACCCCGCTACTCCTTGCCTGTACACCCCACTACTCCTTGCCTGTACACCCCGCTACTCTTTGCCTGTACACCCCACTATTCCTTGCCTGTACACCCCATTACTCCTTGCCTGTACATCCCACTACTCTTTGCCTGTACACCCCACTATTCCTTGCCTGTACACCCCATTACTCCTTGCCTGTACTCCCCGCTACTCCTTGTCTGTACACTCCGCTATTCCTTGCCTGTACAGCCCGCTCCTCCTTGTTAGTACACCCCGCTACTCCATGTTTGTACACCCCGATGCTCCTTGTCTGTACAGCCCGCTACTCCTTGACTGTACAGCCCGCTACGCCTTGCCTTTACATCCGGCTACTCTTTGCCTGTACTCCCAGCTACTCCTTGTCTGTACACTTCGCTACTCCTTGCCTGTACATCCAGCTGCGCCTTGCTTGTACACCCCGCTACTCCTTGCCTGTACATCCCGCTACTCCTTCCCTGTACATTCCTCTCCTCATTGCCTGTACACCCCGCTACCCCTTGCTTGCAGACCCCGCTACCCCTTGCTTTACACACCACTACTCCTTGCCTGTACATCCCCGCTACTCCTTGAATTTACACCCCCTTACTCCTTGCCTACACATCCCGCTACTCTTGCATGTACATCCCCTTACTCCTTGCCTGTACATCCAGCTACTCCTTGCCTGTACATCCAGCTACTCCTTGCCTGTACACCCAGCTACTCCTTGCCTGTACACCCCGCTACTCCTTGCCTGTACACACCGCGCTACTCCTTTGCCTGTACACACCGCTACTCTTTGGATGTTACTCCCTGCTACTCCTTGCCTGTACACCCTGCTACTCCTTGCCTGTACACCCCACTACCCTCCTTGTACAACTGTACCACCCTTTGCTTGTACACCCTCTACTTTTGCCTGTACACCCTGCTACTCCTTGCCTGTACACCCCTGCTACTCCTTGCCTGTACACCTCACTGTTTCCTTGCCTGTACACCCACTTCTTTTTGCTACTCCTTTGCCTGTACACCCCACTATTCTTTGCCTGTACACCCCATTACTCCTTGCCTATACTCCCCGCTACTCCTTGTCTGTACACTCCGCTATTCCTTGTTAGTACACCCCTCTACTCCATGTTTGTACACCCCGATGCTCCTTGTCTGTACAGCCCGCTACTCCTTGACTGTACAGCCCGCTACGCCTTGCCTTTACATCCGGCTACTCTTTGCCTGTACTCCCAGCTACTCCTTGTCTGTACACTTCGCTACTCCTTGCCTGTACAGCCCGCTACGCCTTGTCTGTACACCCCGCTACTCCTTACTTGTACACCCCGCTACTCCTTGCCTGTACACCCCACTACTCCTTATCTGTACACCCCGCTACTCCTTGCCTGTACAACCCGCTACTCCTTGCCTCTACATCCTGCCACTCCCGTGCTCGTACATCCCTCTTTGCCTGTGGTTAACCCCTTTGCCTGTACATCCACCGCTACCCTTGTCTGTACACTCCCACTACTTCCTTGCCTGTACAGCCCGCTCCTCCTTGTTAATTTCCTCCAGCTACTCCTGTTGTTTGTACACCCCGATACTTCCTTGCCTGTACAGCCCGCTACTCTCTTGCCTGTACACCCTGCTACTCCTTGCCTGTACATCCCGGTTACTCTTGCCTGTACATCCCGCTACTCCTTGAATCTACACTCCCCGCTACTCCTTGTCTGTACAGCCCGCTACTCCTTGCCTGTACATCCCGCTACTCTTTCCTTGTACTGCCCGCTACTCCTTGTCTGTACACCTCGCTACTCCTTGCCTGTACACCCCGATACTCCTTATTGTACACCCTTCCTTGCCTGTACATCCTGCTACTCCCTTGCCTCTACATCCCGCTACTCCTTGCCTGTACGTCCCTCTACTCGTTGCATGTACATCCCGCTACTCCTTGCTTTTACACACCGCTACTCCTTGACTGTACATCACCATTACTCCTTCCCTGTACATCCCTCTCCTCGTTCCCTGTACACTCCGCTACCCCTTGCTTGTAGACCCCGCTACTCCTTGCTTTTACACACCACTACTCCTTGCCTGTACATATTCCCGCTTCTCCTTGAATGTACACCCCGCAACTCCTTGCCTATACATCCCTCCAGTGTTTGCCTGTACATCCTTCTGTACACCCCATGCCTGTTGACTGTACATCCAGCTACTCCTTGCCTGTACACCCTTTCTACTTTTGCCTGTACACCCCGTTACTCCTTGCATGTACATCCCTCTACTCCTTGCCTGTACATCCCTCTACTCCTTGCATGTACATCCCTCTACTCCTTGCATGTACATCCCTTCTACTCCTTGCATGTACAGCCTGCGCTTCTTTTGCCTGTACACCCTACTGTTAGGCTCCTTGCCTGTACACCCTGCTACTCCTTCCCTGTACATCCCTTCCTCGTTGCCTGTACATCCGCTACCCCTTGCTTGTAGACTCCGCTACTCCTTGCTTTTACACCACCACTACTCCTTGCCTGTACATCCCTTCCTCGTACACTGCTACCTTTGCCTGTATGCTATCCCTGCTGATGTAGACCCTGCCTGTACCCCTACTCCTTGCCTGTACACCCCGTTACTCCTTGCCTGTACGCCCTGCTACTCATTGCCTGTGCACCCTGCTACTGCTTGCATGTACATCCCTCTACTCCTTGCCTGTACATCCCGCTACTCCTTGCCTCTGTGTGTGTGTTTGTGCGTGCGTGCGTGTGTGTGTGTGTGTGTGTGTGTGTGTGTGTGTGTGTATGTGTGTGTTTAGATTTAATTCTCGAGCGATTTCAAACAGTGGTGATATTCCTGAATGTGTGTTTGACGCGATTTCAAACGTGTGAGGAGATATTGTTCTGTGAAATTCGAATCAAACCTACTGTTCAAACAGAGTGATTATAAGCATATCTATGCTCTGACACATTACACCTCGATTACATCAAGAATATCCTCTGTTTTTATGTAAACTTATATTACTTCATATAATTACTTCATTTAGATAAGCTCATGTACTTGGTCGTTCACTCTTGGTGTCCATAGGCGTCCTGACTTCATTTATGTTTACAGCAGCGATGGCCAGAGGTAGTGAAGCTTACAACTTGCTTTCACTAATTTCAATTATCACTTAAATTTATTGTTTTAACGCTCCTGTAAACATACGGGCAAGGAGTTGCGGGGAGTACAAGCAAGGTGTACAGGGAGTGTACAGGCAAGGAGTAGCGGGATATACAGGCAAGGAGTATCTTGATGTACTGGCAAGGAGTAGCGGGATGTACAGCAAGGAGTAGCGGGGTGTACAGGCAAGCAGTAGCGGGATGTACAGGCAAGGAGCAGCGAGGTGTACAGGCAAGGAGTAGCCAGGGATGTACAGGCAAGGAGTAACGGGGTGTACAGCAAGGGAGTAGCAGGGGTGTACAGGCAAGGAGTAGCAGATGTACAGCAAGGAGTAGCAAGGTGTACAGCAAGGAGTGGGGGTGTACAGCAAGGAGTAGTATGGGTGTACAGGCAAGGAGTAGTGGGATGTACAGGCAAGGAGTAGCAGGGTGTACAGGTAAGGAGTAGCTGGGTGTACAGGCAAGGAGTAGCAGGGTGTACAGCAAGGAGCATAGTGGGATGTACAGGCAAGGAGTAACGGGGTGTACAGGCAAGGAGTAGCAGGGTGTACAGACAAGGAGTAGCGGGATGTACAGGCAAGGAGTAGCAGGGTGTACAGGCA